TTGTATTTACTAAGAACAATTATTTACAATACTGGTAACACTGATACAATTTTATTACCTAATTATCTGTAGTTCATATTCCACTTTAGTCAATTGTCCTATTCCTTCCAGGATCCAATTAATGATCAGGTATTGTACCTGCTAAGTTTGTCACATTAGATTTTTTTTAATCTGGAACAGTTTCCCTGCCTTTGCTTCATAGCATTAACATTTTTTTTTTTTTTGTCGGTCATGGGGCTTGAACTCTGGGCCTGGGCGCTGTCCCTCAGCTCTTCAGCTCAAGGCGAGTGCTCTACCACTTGAGCTACAGCGCCACTTCCGGTTTTCTAGTAGTTTATTAGAGATAGGAGTCTCACGGTCTTTCCTGCCCGAGCTGGCTTTGAACCGCAATCCTCAGATCTCAGCCTCCTGAGTAGCTAGGATTACAGGCATGAGCCACCGGCGCCCGGCTAGCATTAACATTTTTGTAATAGAACAAGCAAGATGTTTTATACAATATTCCTTAATTTGGGTTTTTCCAATGCTTGTCATGACTAGATCTGGTTTAAGCATTTTTGGCAGGCATAAGTGACATTATGTCATCAATATCTCAGATCAGATCAGGAGGCTTATGATACTTTTATCCCATTCCCAGAGTTAACTTTGACCACTTAAGGTAATTTGCCAGTTTTCTCCTCTGTCCAATTACGGTTTTCTTTTTTCATAATTAATAATTTCTTGGATGTTGCTTTGAAACAATTTAAATAACCTTGGATCACATTCTGAGGTTGGCCCCAGGCAAAATCATGTGACCCTATCTGAAAAACAAGCAAAGGGATTGGAAATGTGACAAAAGTGGTAGAATACTTGCTTAGAAACACCACACCCAGAGTTCCAGTCTCAGTACCCCACACATACAAAAAGAGTGACAGAGAAAGGAAAGAAAGAAGGAAGAGATCTGAAGTACAGTAAAAGTGTTGCCGGAAAAGTTTTTTTGGTTGTTGTTTTTCGGTTGTGGATCTTGAACTCAGCCTGGGCACTGTCCCTCAGCTCTTCAGCTCAAGTGGTAGTGCCCTACCACTTGAGCCACAGTGCCACTTCTGGTTTTCTGGTGGTTTATTGGAGATGAGAGTCTCATGGACTTTTCTGCTTGGGCTAGCTTTGAACCCATGATCCTCAGATTTCAGCCTCCTGAGTAGCTAGGAGGAAAAGCTTTTTTTAAGGAGAGTTTTTGTTGTATATAAAATGTTGAGCTCAGCCGGGCGCTGGTGGCTCACGCCTGTAATCCTAGCTACTCAGGAGGCTGAGATCTGAGAATCGCCGTTCAAAGCCAGCCCGGGCAGGAAAGACCGTGAGACTCCTATCTCCAATAAAACCACCAGAAAACCGGAAGTGGCACTGTGGCTCAAGTGGTAGAGCGCTCGCCTTGAGCTGAAGAGCTGAGGGACAGCGCCCAGGCCCAGATTCAAGCCTCACGACCGACAAAAAAAAAAAAAATGTTGAGCTGTATCTAATGTTTTTATCGAATACTCTAAAATACATCAAGAAACTAGGGCATCTTAATTGCTAATAAAAATCTAACTGCCTTGCCCTGACCAAGTTAAAGACTCCTAAATATCAAGTTCAGAATGTGTCAGTAGGCAGGAAAGAGAAAATGTTAGATCCCTTTCCAGGCACAGTTTGAGACTTTAGAATTTCTCAGTAAAATGTTACCTAAAGATAATGATACCTGACAAAAACTGGCCTGTTATATTAAAATTATGATAGAAATGTTCAGTAGGGGCAGGGAATGTGGCTTAGTGGTATAACACTTGCCTATCATGCATGAAGCCTTGAGTTTGATTCCTCAGTCAGTACCAGAAACAGAAAAAGCCAGAAGTGGCGTTGTGGCTCAAGTGATAGAGTACTAGCCTTGCGCAAAAGAAGCTCAGGGACAGTGCCCAGGCCCTGAGTTCAAGCCGCATCACTGGCACAAAATAGTACTAATAATACAGTGTATGTCAAATTAAAAAGATATATACATATATGTTATGCTTCATTAAAAACTAAAATTACAATTCATATATATATATTTTTGGTGGTGGTGGTGATCATGAGGCTTGAACTCTGGTCTTGGGCGCTGTACCTGCACTCTACCACTTGAGCCACTGCATCACTTCTGGTTTTCTAGTGGCTTATTGGAGATAAGCATCTCACACGGGCTGGGAAGGGGGCTCAGTGGTAGAGTGCTTGCCTTGCATGCCTGAGGCCCTGGGTTCCATTCCTCAGCACCACATAAGCAAAAAGAAAAAAGCCAGAAGTGGCGCTGTGGCTCAAGTGGTAGAGTGCTAGCCTTGAGCTGAAGAACTGAGGGACAGTGCCCAGGCCCAGAGTTTTCAAGCCCCATGACCGACCAAAAAAAAAAAGTCTCGGGCTGGGAAAGTGGCTCAGTGGTAGAGCGCTTGCCTTGCATGCCTGAGGCCCTGGGTTCAATTCCTCAGCACCACATAAGCAGAAAAAAAAAAAGCCGGAAGTGGTGCTGTGGCTCAAGTGGTAGAGTGCTAGCCTTGAGCTGAAGAGCTGAGGGACAGCACCCAGGCCCAGAGTTCAGGCCCCACGACCGGACCCAAAAAAAAAAAAAAGTCTCATGGACTTTGCTGCCCAGGCTGGCTTTGAATCATGATCCTCAGACCTTAGCTAGGATTACAGGCGTGAGGCCCTGCGCCCAGCTACAATTCATATTTTTTAAACACCCTTTGTAATGCTAGGCATGATGTTACACAATTGACATCTCAGCACTTGGGAGGCTATGGCAGAATGGTGAGTTTGAGTCCATTCTGAACTATATGATTGTATCTCTAACTGTATTTTTTAATATTATCTTTTTTGGTACTAGAGTTGGAAGACCCTGAACAAATGAACTGTTATAAATTAAGAATAAATGCATGAAGAAAAAATCTATGAGAAAAAATAATAAAAGAATAAATATATGGCCAAAGCCTACATAGTGGTATAGGCGGCCAAGGCAGAAAGATTACTTGAATCAAGGACTTTAAGGCTAGCTTGAGTTAACACAACAAAACCCTCCATCTTATAAAAAGGATGACCAATATTCTTGATGAACACAGATGCAAATATTCTCAACAAAATACTAGCAAACCAAATTCTACATCAAAAAGATCAAATGAGTACACAGTGCTGGTGGCTCATACCTGTAATCCTAGCTACTCAGGAGGCTGAGATCTGGGGATTGCAGTTCAAAGCCAGCCTGGGCAGGAAAGTCCAAGATACTCTTATCTCCAAATAACCACCAGAAAACTGGAAGTCACACTGGGCCTCAAAGTTGTAGAGCACTAGCCTAGAGCAAAAAGAACTCAGGAATGCCCCCCCAGGCTCTATGTTCAAGCCCTATGTCTAGCAAAAAAAGTAATATTTATCCCAAAGATTCAAGAATATTTCAACATATTTGTATATCAATCATAAATCAACAGTAAAGGACAAACATCTTATTATCTCAGTAGATGAAGAAAGGATTTTTTTGGTCAGTCATGGGGCTTCAACTCAGGGTCTGGGTGGTATCCCCGAGTTTTTTTTTGCTCAAGGCTAACACTCTACCACTTTAATCACTGCACCACTTCCGGTTTTCAGGTGGTTAATTGGAGAGTAGAGTCTAAAGGACTTTCTTGCCAGGGCTGGCTTTAAACCTTGATCCTCAGATCTTGGCCTCCTGAGTAGCTAGGCTTATAGGCTTGAGCCACAAGCACCTGGCTCAGAAAAGGAACTTCTTTAAAATACCTGATCTGGAATATGAGAGGTCCATTTTCACCACTTTTTTTCAATACAGTATGGGACACATGTATAAACACATACATATATATGTATTCATATATACAATATATATTCATATGTACAATTCATGTATTCAGTAATATTCAGAACATATACAAATCTCCTAGGTAAGGCACCAACCCAGGTTCTCCCTTGACTACACATTCCCCTCAAATTATTATTTTTTGGGGGGGGGGGGGTCGTAGGGCCTGAACTCTGGGCCTGGGCGCTGTCCCTCAGCTCTTCAGCTCAAGGCTAGCACTCTACCACTTGAGCCACAGCGCCACTTCTGGCTTTTTTCTTTTTGCTTATGTAAGTGCTGAGGAATGGAACCCAGGGCCTCATGAATGCAAGGCAAGCACTCTACCACTGAGCCACCTTCCCAACCCCCCCCCCTTCAAATTATTGTCCCAATTTCTTTCTCCACTCTCCTTCCCCCTCTGCTATCCCTGATTATAACAAAACTACTGGAAAGAGTTTATACTCACAGTGTAAAGAAGAATAGCCATATTAATTGACTTTGCTTTAAAGTCATGATTGCTAAACTCCAGTGGGCCTTTGTGACTGCCTAAAGGTCAACTACATTTCCCTCAAGGTCAACTACATCCACTGTTATGGATCTTCCTATATCTTCTTTCTTCATACTTCAAGCACCTGCTCCATCCCCTGCCCTCATTCTTTTTTTTCTTTTTCTGTGTGGTGTGTATGATGCACACACACACCAGTCGTGGGGCTTGAACTCAGGGCCTAGGTGCTATCCCTTTACTTTTTTGTTCAAGGTTGGCACTCTATCTGTTGGTCACAGCTCCACTTCCAGCTTTTTGCTGGTTAAATGGAGGTAAGAGTCTCATGGCCTTTCCTGCCTGGGCTGGCTTTGAACTGTGGTTCTCAGATTTGAGCTTCCTGAGCAGCTAGATTACAGATGTGAGTACCAACACCCAACAGTCCTCACCCTTAGTTCCACAAATCACATATTCTTGAAGGTCTCTCATTTGTAATCTCATCTCTCCAATAATTCTTGGTCTCATTTCTTTCTGACTGATTTTTTCCATATCAATTTTCCCTTTATCCATGCTTTTACTTTCAACTATAGTTGTCTGTCATCAGCTGTAGCCCAAAAATATTAAAGAAACAATTTCCAAAGTAAACATTTCATAGGTTTTAAATTATGCACTGTAACTCTGAGTAACATGAGATCTTACTGTCCTTCCCAGACCAAGTTGTCCAGCATGTCTGTGCTATATAGGAACTCACCTGTTGGTCACACAGTAGCTGAGTTGGTAATTAGATCCACTATCTGGTATCATAGTGCTTATGTTCAAGTAACTCTTAGAAGAGTAACCTAATGCTACATCATAAGGCCTATGTCATTGGCTTACTTCATCTCATCATGTAGGTACTTTAGTGTCTAGCATTATGAGAAGAGTGAATATAGTATAATGTATTTCTGAGAAACAGACTACAGACCAAATGCACAGTTCGTGTGTGTGTGTGTGTGTGTGTGTGTGCACGTGCACACGTGTGTGTGCACACCCACACACATGTGCACGAATGCACTGGTCTTGGTGCTTGAAGTCAGAGCCTGGGCACTGTCCCTGAGCTTCTTTTTTTCCCTTCAAGGCTAACACTCTACCACTTGAACCATACTTCCACTTCCAGCCGTTTTGGAAGTTAACTGGAGTTAAGATTTTCCTGCCCAGGCTAGTTTTGAACCATGATCCTCAGATTTCAGTCTCTTAAGCAGCTAAGATTACAGACATCATCCATCTGAGCCCACCTGCACATAATTTTATTGCAGTATATTGTTATAATTGGTCTATGTTATTATTAGTTGATATTACTTCCTTACTATGCCTAATTTATAAGTTAAACTACTGTATGTATATGTTTTTCCTATAAGTAGTACAGGGTTTAGTACCTATGCATGGTTTCAGGCTTACATTGGAGGTCTTAGAACAAATCCTCCCGAGATAAGGAAGATGACTGCACACGTACCCAGGCATTTGATTCTGTCATCTGCCTTAGCAGCCACATTCTTACCTGGCCCCTCAGCTTAGGTTTTGTGTGTGCATGTGCCGGTCCTTGAACTTGAACTCAGGGACTGGGCCCTGTCCCTAAACTTCTTTTTTTTTTTTTTTTTTACTTCCATCCTTTTCTGAGTTGTTTATTGGAGATAAGAGTCTAGCTGACTTTCCTGACTGAGCTGGCTTTGAACCACCATCCTCAAATCTCAGCCTTATAGTAGCTAGGATTATAGGTATGAGCCACCAAAGCCTGGCTTCAACTTAGCCTTTAACAGCAACTATAAAATTAACTTATTAATATAGTCATCCTTTCTTTTTTCCTTACTTTTCTCTTTCTGTCTTTGTCTTTTTCCCCCTGTGTTAGTACAGGAGCCTCAAGCTCTCACTTGGCTTTTTCATACAAGGCTGTGCACTGTACCACTTGAGCCACACCTCCACTTCCAACTTTTTGCTGGGTAATTGGAGATAAGAGTCTCACAGACATTTCTGCCCAGACTAGTTTCAAACCTCAATCCTCAGATCTCACCCTCCTGAGTAACTACAATTATAGATGTGAGTCATAAGCACCTGGCTCCTTTCCATTCCTAACATGTATCATGATACATTTTAAGTCGCTCACAATTGTTTTTTGCCAGTCCTGCAGCTTAAACTCAGGGCCTAGGCACTGTCCTTGAGCTCCTTTGGCTCAAGGCTAGTACTCTACCACTTGAGCCCTGGTGCCACTACTGGCCTTTTCTGTATATGTGATACTGAGGAATCGAACTCAGGGCTTCATGCATGCTAGGCAAGCACTGTACCACTAAGCCACATTCCCAGCCCCTGTCACTCACAATTTTAATTCAAAGGATGTGTTTTTTCCTACTAGTAGATGTAAGTGTATTAGCATGCAAAAGAGCTCACTCACGCTTTTCTTTTTATAGTCACAGTGAAATCTCACAGAGGCGAGTCAACACATGTAATCAAACATTGACAGTCCTTGCTTCCTTCCTTTCTTTTTAACCCTGCTCTTCTGAATTTTATCAGGAGAAACCAAAGTATAGTATTTAAAAAAAAAAAAAAACAAGGGCTGGGAAGGTGGCTCAGTGGTAGAGCACTTGCCTTGCATGCTTGAGGCCCTGGGTTTGATTCCCCAGCACCACATAAGCAAAAAGAAAAAAGCCGGAAGTGGCTCTGTGGCTCAGTGGTAGAGTGCTAGCCTTGAGCTGAAGAGCTGAGGGACAGTGCCCAGGCCCAGAGTTCAGGCCCACTACTGGACCCAAAAAAAAAATAAAAAATAAATTAAAAAAGCCAAAAAGGAAAGCAAGTTGTGGGGAATGGTTTTGTGTTGTTATTATTTGTCAGTTGGGGGGCCTGAACTCTGGGCCTGTGCGCTGTCCCTCAGCTCTTCACTTGAAGGCTAGCGCCCTACCACTTGAGCCACAGCGCCACTTCCAGCTTTTTCTATTTATGTGGTGCTGAGGAATCGAACCCAGGTCCTCATGCATGCAAGGCAAGCACTCTACCACTGAGCCAACCTCCCAACCCGGGTTTTTGTTTTTGCCAGTCCTAGGGCTTAAATTCTGGGCCTGGGTACTGTCCTTGGTCTCCTTTTGCTTAAGGGTAGCATTCTACCACTTGAGCCACAGTGACACTTCCAGTTCTTTCTGTGATTAATTGGAGATAAGAGTCTCATGGTTTTTCCTGCCTGGACTGGCTTCAACCCCAATCCTCAGATCTCAGCCTCCTGAATAGTTAGGATGATGGGTGTAAGCTATCGATACCAGGTAGTAACTCAGTTTTATCAGCCCATAATTATTCAGTTTGGGGGGAGATAAATCACACTAAGCAAATAAATAATGCTTCAGTGTCCTTAGCTGTAAATGGAGATAATAAGATCTACTTTTTTGTTGTGGTGATTAAATATTACGTATATATAACAGGTTTTTTTAAGGAAAGCTCATAAATCATATTTGAGTTAACTATGTACATATACTTTTCTTTGTCCACTGCTTAAGACATTCTTTCAAGGATAGGATACCTGGAAAGCATATTTTCATGTGTGTGTGTGTTGGTCCTGGAGCTTGAACTCAGGGCTTGTCCCCGATCTTCCTTTTGCTCAAGGCTAGCACTCTACCACTTGAGTAATAGCTCCACTTTTGGCTTTTAGGTAGTTTATTGGAGATAATCATCTCATGGACTTTCCTGCCCAGGCTAGCTTTGAATTTCAGTCGTTAGATTTCTGCCTTCTGAATAGCTAGGATTCAGGCCCAGCAAGTGCCCAGCAAACATTATTTTTAACTGTAAGATTCTTTAAGGAATAAAAATTGCTGGCTACCTTCAAAGGCTGTATCATCTATGCCCTGAAAGAGCCTAGTCAAACACCATTGCCCATAGAAAAGTACCCCTGAACCTGTGGCCAGAACTTTCATACCCACTAATCAGATTTCTGTTTCTTCCAGACTCCTCCTTCCTAATCCTAAATATGGGATGCTCTATAGCTTCAGCCTAGCCTCCAGAATTTGTTTCCTGATTTTTTGAGTGCATAAAATTTCCCATATGTCCTATCCAGGGGGAACAAGACTTTGTATTTCTGTCCTTTCCTTTGCTGACTTGGTCTTGCCTGCTTTGAGCCATTCATAGCTTCATACCTACGTATTCCTCCTGGTCTTGATTTCATAAAAATACTCTCTAATCTGGAACTTTGCCAAGGCAGCTCCTTAACTTTTTATCTGAAGACCCTAATTCTGATTATAGCTCACCATAACACAGATGCATGCATTCAAGACACTGCCACAGACAGGAATCTCCAAATAGGTGAGTGTGCACAGGAATCTCAAAATAGATGAGTGTGCACAGACAGGAATCTCAAAATAAGTGAGTGTGGATGATAAGGAGATCTCTCTCTCTCTCTCTCTCTCTCTCTCTCTCTCTCTCTCTCTCTCTCTCTCTCTCTCTCTCTCTCCTCTCTGTACTTAGGGCTTGAACTCAGAGCTTGGGCACCGTCCCTTAGCTTTTCTACTCAAGGCTGGTACTCTATCATTTGTGCCACACCTCAACTTCCAGCTTTTTGCTGGTTAATTGGAGATGAGATAACTTTCCTACCTGCCCTGGCTTCAAACTGAGATCCTTAATACTCAGCCTCCTAAATAGCTAGTCATGAGTCACCAGCACCCAGCTTGAGGTGCTTGTTCTTGAGACAAATGACTTTTCCCTGCCAGACTATCAAAAGACACAAGCACATTCAGGCTTTGCACATTCTAAGTGTCTCAATCTGCTTCCCTGAGGAATTTACCTGTGGGTCTCAGAGTTGCTCTCAGTCCAACTTCCAAATGAATTTCTTTAAAGAAAGACAGCTGTACTTTGGTAATACTGAATACTCCTATGTTCTTATTTCAACAAATTGTTTCCTGATTCTAGTGTGCATATTCTCCTAGGCCTCCTGGCCTCTCTAGCTGCTTGACTGGTGACCCACCTGTTAAGAGACAGCTAGATCTGGGCACCAGTGGATTACAACCTATAATCCTAACTCCTCAGGAGGCTGAGATCTGAGGATCACAGTTCAAAGCCAGCCCAGGCAAGAAAGTCAGACTCCTATCTCAAGTAAACAACCAGAAAACTGAAAGTGGCACTGTGGCTCAAGTGGTAGAGCCTTGAGCTGAAGAGCTGAGGGACCACTCAGTGCCCAGGCCCAGAGTTCAAGCCCTACCACCAACAAAAGAAAGAAAGAAAGAGAAAGAAAACCAGCCTGGGAAGGAAAGTAACGAGACTTTACCACTTAACTACCAAAAAACAAGAAATGGTAGGGCACTAACATTGAACAGAAAAGTTTGGTGACAGTGCCCAGGCCCTGAATTCAAGAGAGAGGGAGGGAGAAAGGGAGAAAGAGGAGAGAGATCTAGAAATGCCACTCTTATTTAATTCCAGCAGAGGGCACTGTAGTTCTAGCTTTTGAAACAAAAGGCTAAATGATATAATTCAGCTCTGAATGAACTAGCTAGGCTGGGATCTTGCAGCCTGTAATCCTAGCTACTTAGAGTAGGCTTAGATCTGAGGACCACAGTTCAAAGCCAGCCCGAGCAGGAAAGTCTGTGACACTCTTATCTCCAAAGATCTCCAATGAACCACCTAAAAGCCAAAAGTGGAGCTATGGCTCAAGTGGCAAAGTACCAGACTTGAGCAAAAAAGCTCAGGGACAGCACCCATCCCTTGAATTCAAGCCCCAGGCTGGCGCGCGCACGCGCGCGCGCACACACACACACACACACACACACACACACACACACACACACACACACACACAGAATGAACTAGCCAGAGCCTGAGACCCTCTCTACCTTTCCTAGTGGATAAAACTATTGAAGCGATAGGAATATATCTTGGAAACAACCATAGTGTCTCATCACTACTATAGACCATCATGGCCTATATCCATAAAATTAGAGGGGGAGGTGTTCATGCTACTTATAGTCACATACTGCCAAAATTAGCCGGTAGGTCCACCTCCAGGCTAGTGGCTGTGTCTATAGGCAGGAAGCAGGCTACATTTCCCACAGATGCTCATCCTTTCCCTATTGGTCTTCCCCATTAAGACTGACCCAGTCCACTGGGAGAGTGACCTACCCAGGTTCCAGCCCTCGCTGCTGCCCTGATGCTGGCAGTAGGAAATGACGATCCCCATTTTCATACTCAGAGGGCAGGTTCTGCCTCTGGATCTAAGTGATGAGATTGTGTCTCTATCCAACTCCAGGTTGCTGTAGGGGAGCAGACACCCTCGGCAGGACCTCGAGTCAGCGGTATCCTTGAAGCCCTATCACAGGGCTAACTACTAGACCAAATCCTTAGTCTTTCCTAGAAGCCTCGACAAGGTTATTTCAAGAGGAAGTTTAGAATAGTGGGTAGGAGCATGCACTCCAGATCCAAGCTGTATGGGTTAAACTCAGAGCTCTGCCACATGCTAATTATGTGAACTTAGACAAATTATGTGCTTGTATCTCTTTTGTAAAAAATAATAATAGTGCCTACATTCCAAGAGCTGTATCAGGCGCATTAATTATTAGCTATTTTTATTGTTATTGTTTCTAGAAAAGCTACATCACTGTACTCAATTTCCTTTTCTTTTCTTTTTTTTTCCCAGTCCTGGGCCTTGAACTCTGAGCCTAGGCAATGTTCTTAAGCTCCTTTTTATTCAAGGCTAGCGCTCTACCACTGGAGCTACAGCACCACTTCCATCTTTTTCTGGGATTAATTAGAGATGAGTCTCACAGACTTTCATGCCCAGGCTGGCTTTGAACCTTAATCTGTAGCTCTCAGCCTCCTGAGTAGCTAGAATTACAGGCATGAGCCACCAGCACCCAGCTCTCAATTTTTTCTTTCTCTTTCTCTTTCTTCCCTTTCTTTCTTTCTCTTTCTTTCTTTCTTTCTCTTTCTTTCTCCTTCCTTCCTTCCTTCCTTCCGTCCTTCCCTTTTGTGTCATGGAGCTTGAACTCAGGGCCTGGGTGCTGTCCCTGAGCTCCTTTTCTCAAAGCTAGCGCTTTACCATTTTGAGCCACAGCTCCACTTCTAAGCTCTCAATTTTCATTAGCAGTCTGTAATCCGCACTTAAGCAGGCCTACTGCTGCCTCATGCCCCACCGACTTTCCCTGTGTTCATAATCCTGAACAAGCATATCAAGGAAGTTATTTGTAGACAAGAAGGCAAAGTGACTGCCCCCACATGGAAAATATGCCCTGGGGATTGGTCTGGTTCCCTAGGCTAGTGCTTCTCACCCTCGTGAACTTCCTCTCACAGCACTGATAACTTCTCTGTATTAAGACAGTAAGTGCAAGATACCCTTTCACTTATTTTAGCCTATTTTAGTACATATTAATGTTCCAGCCAATTAATGTTAGGATTAATGCCCAACATTTGATAGGATCTCCTAAATAGGATTTTTTTCCCCCTTCTGTGCTACTACTGGGGCTTTTTAAGTCAGGACTTCATACCTACACTTTTTTTTCCCTCACAGCTAGTGCTCTACCACTCTACACCTCCAGCCAGGCATTTTGCTAGTTAATTGGAGATGGCCTCTCCAGTCTGGCTTCAAACCTGGATCCTCAGATCTCAGCCTTCTGAGTAGATAAGATTACAGGGATGGGCTACCTGTGCCCAGCTGCCAAATGCTTCTTTTTTTTTTTTTTTTTGGGTCCGGTCGTGGGGCCTGAACTCTGGGCCTGGGCGCTGTCCCTCAGCTTTTCAGCTCAAGGCTAGTGCTCTACCACTTGAGCCACAGCGCCACTTCCGGCTTTTTTCTTTTTGCTTATATGGTGCTGAGGAATGGAACCCAGGGCCTCATGCATGCAAGGCAAGCGCTCTACCACTGAGCCACCTTCCCAGCCCCTGACAAATGCTTCTTGATTTAGAAGAAAAGGCAACCAAGTGGTTGAACTTTCAGCACAACTGCAGGCACACAGTGACCATCCACATGAGAGGCTGGATGTCCTGACTGGACATTTGGAGATAGTAGCGAAAAAAAACATCTGCTGGCTGTACCATTGAGGACAACAAGGCTGAGACCTGAAGACCAAAGAGCTCTCACTGTCATTTGAACTCAGACCAGCTATTACTCTCAGTCCAGATCCCACCACCCACTAGGAATATGCTTGGTTTTTTCCTCCTCAAACGACACCTATTTTTCTAAGGACATTCTACCACTCCACCTTACTCCAAGTTGAACAACCAAGTTCAAATGGCCCCTCATTGCTGTAACCTGTTTTGGAATATAAACCAGTCCCCAATTCAGTCCAGACTGACAGAACTCTACACTAACCATGGCTCCGGGACTTCAAGTTCTCTGTTAAGTCCTTAGCCATATAAGGGAGGAAGTTCAAATTGTGCCTTGAACCAGTGGTGAAATTATCTCAGACTCAGATTATTAAAGGAGATTTCCATTGGAGGGCAAAAGGGAAGAGGAGGGACACAGATGATGAATTGAATGAGACCAAGCCAGGGAAGACAGGAAAAAAGCTGGAGCTGGTAAAGAACTCCATGACGGAAGCAGCATCCCCACCCTTCATCAGAAATGAGTCAGCAACTCTTAACAATTTCCAGCAAGGATGCAAATGCTGAGCTAGGTCCTGACAAGCATCTATAAGCAAGAAAGACAAAAGGCTTCGTGAAAACAGAACAGAAGCGCTGAAAACAATAGATGAAGAGCTGAGCTTTATTCTGCATCTGAGACTTTTCAGGGGAGCTAGGGCAAGGGGCCTCTCTTCTTCTGGCTTAGATAACAAAATGGATGGAATAGTCAAGAGACAGAAATCTCAGAATCCCCTAGACACCTCCCTCTTTTTCACTGTTTCAAATCCACTCATTCAAGATTCTGAGATGCAAACCAAATCTAGATTATTGAAGCAGAATGTGGATATACTAAAAGAGTGTTTGAGGCTGGGCACTGATGGCTCACACTTGTAAACCCAGCTTCTCAGGAGGCTGGGATTGAAGATCAAGGTTCAAAGCCAACCTGGGCAAGGAAGTTCATGAGACTCTTACTTCCAATTAACCAGCAAAAAAGCCACAAGTGGATCTTTGGCTCAAGTAATAGAGCACCAGCCTTGAGCGAAAAAGCTAAGAGATGGCACATGGGCCCTGAGTTCGAGCCCCAGAACTGACATAAAAGAAAAAAAAAGAATATTGGGTAATATATAAAATCTGCAAGTGAAATTGAGGACTGGGCTCAGTGGATGGTAATCAGAAATAATGCTCAGAATCATCTCACAGACCTGCTCTGAGATAGACACTATTACATCCCAGGCTATAGTGGCAGGAGGGCACCAAATGCACTGCATCCTGAACACCACTGTGAGAAACAAGAGGCAATGCCATTGATACCAATGCTCATCACTAGCAAAAAATAAAAGTTATATGGCCATTGCATCCTTGAAACCTCATCCTTGATTCAAAATCTAGAGCAGATTTTTTTAATCAGCCTAGCCAGGCCAGACACCAATGGCTCATGCCTATAATCTTAGCTACTCAGGAGGCTGAGATCTGAGGATCATAGTTCAAAGCCAGCCTGGACAGGAAAGTGAATGAGATTATTATCTCTGATAAACTACAAAAAAGAAAAAACAAGAAGTAGAGTGCTGTGGCTCAAAAGGTAGAGTGCTAGCCTTGAGCAAAAGAAGCTCAAGGACGGGCCCAGGTCCTGAGTTCAAGCTCCAGGACCAACACCAAAAGAAAAAAAAGAAAGAAAAAGACTTCTGGCTAACCAGAAGTCTTTGTCCAGCCCTTGTTACAAGAAAGGTTTGTTGAGGGGGGAGGGAGGAGGTCCTTTAAGCTTCTACAGTGAGATGCAGGATCTGTTTCATAAAAGATGATTCTCAAACATAAAAATAAATGCTATGTATCCACTATATTACATTTCAAGCTCCATCCTGTCTCTCTCCACATCACTCAGAAACCAAAGCAACAGAAATCTCTCTGCTGCCTCTCTAATGGTTCTAATGCTTTTGCTGTCCTGCTACCTGAAGAGCTCTTCCTGTTTCTGCTATGGTCCATGAACTCCCATTGCCCTTCAGGACTTAGCTCAAACATTACTTCTCATTTTAGACCATTTGAAGTTCTATAAACATACCAATCCTATAAAAAGGAGTATTCATATAGATAAGAGGGCATGTTCACCAGCATAAAACCTAAGTATCTGTCCAGTATCCTGAATCCAGCAGGAGGCCACATAAAATACCCCAGAATCAGGAGCAATGAAGGAACTCTTATAATTACTGGCTTTTTCCTCTCCCCTCTGCCACAGATGTGATGAATCAGGAGAGATCCTGCCATGTACCTTATGGGCACAGAAAACAGAGAATCAAATAGCTTCACTTGGCAAGTACTCAGAATGGGTCTCTTCTTGTTTCAGTTCAGGAGTCAATGCCCACTAGGCTTCCACCTATTACTGCACAAAATGGGAATTATTCTGTGCACCAGAACAGCCACATGAGATACCATGAAGCTGTACGGAAGGTGTTGCTGAAGACATGTAAGTTCTCTGGAGTGGGGACCAGGGTAGGCACAGAAAAAGAAGTGCCTGAGTTCCTAGAGAATGTCTGGGGGCGGGGGAGGAGGAAGAAAGAAGGGAGGGAGGCACCTGGCAGAGACTGACAAGAGGCAGAAGTAGACTTGAACGGAGGGTGAGAATGACAAAATAGAAACTGACAACATTAACAAACAAGGCCGGGAATGCAGCTTAGTGGTAGAGTGCTTGTCTAGCATGCATGAAGCTCCTCAGTACCACATACACAGAAAAGGCCATAAGTGGCGCTGTGGCTCAAGTGGTAGAGTGCTAGCCTTAAGAAAAGGAAGCCCAGGAATAGTAGCCAGGCCCTGAGTTCAAGCCCCAGGACTGGCAAAAATTAAAAAAATTAAAAAAAATTAACAGACAAAATAGAAATTGGATTGGTTTGGAAACCCAAACAAGGTCTGGGATTGAGTCTCCTCAACATCTCACTTTATTAAGTCACTTACCCTTTATTAATCTGCTTCTGCAATTGAATTGAAAGAGAGAGATGGATGAAAAACTTGGTCTGCTGTTTTACCAGTCTTCCAGAATGGTGAGGATAACAGCAAAAGCAAAGCCCTTTGTATATCATCACCCACTGCCCCATGAGGAGTGGTAGAGTAGGGCAAGCTTGGGAATTTAACTGAACTGAACTTGAAATCCACACAAGTTATATGACCTTGGGCAAGTTCCTTCAGCCACTTAACATCCCTGAAGCATCTGAAAATAAGAATACTCTTTAGTGTTGTTGTGAAAAACCAAACAGGATAAAGTCCCAAGGCATGTAGTATGATCTCCAGGGAAATCTCTATGAAGATTTATTTTTTTTTTTCCTTGGTCGGTCCTGGGGCTTGAACTCTGGGCCTGGGCGCTGTACCTCAGCTCTTCAGCTCAAGGCAAGTGCTCTACCACTTGAGCTACAGCGCCACTTCCGGTTTTCTGGTGGTTTATTGGAGACAGGAGTCTCACGGTCTCTCCTGCCTGGGCTGGCTTTGAACCGCGATCCTCAGATCTCAGCCTCCTGAGTAGCTAGGATTACAGGCGTGAGCCACCAGCGCCCAGCTTCTATGAAGAATTTTTATTGGAATCTCTGTAGAGAACTCCAAGACCCAAAAGATCACAATCTTTATGCCATTTATGTCACTTGAAACTTAGGCTACCCAGGTGCTGATGGCTCACAGCCGTCATCCTAGCTAATCAGGAGGCTGAGATCTTAGAATCAAGGTACGAGGGCAACCCAGGCAAGGAAAGTTCATGAGACTCAGGCTGGGAAGGTGACTCAGTGGTAGAGTGCCTCACATGCATGAAGCCCTGGGTTCGATTCCTCAGCACCACATAAGCAGAAAAAGCCAGAAGTGATGCTGTGGCTCCAGTGGTAAGGTGCTAGCCTTGAGCTGAAGAGCTGAGGGACAGCGACCAGACCCAGAGTTCAGGCCCCACGACTGACACACACACACAAAAAAAAAAAGTTCATGAGACTCTTATCTCTGGGTGACCAGCAAAAAGTTGGAAGTAGAGATGTGGTTCAAGTAGTGGAGCACCAGTCTTGAACAAAAATACTCAGGGACAGCAAGTAGGCCCGGAGTTCAAGCCTCAGGAAAGAAAGAGGGAAAGAGAAAGAAAGAGAGAAAGAGAGAGAGAGAGAGAGGGAGGGAGGGAGGGAAGGAGGGAGGGAGGAAGGAAGGAAGGAAGGAAGGAAGGAAGGAAGGAAGGAAGGAAGGAAGGAAGGAAGGAAGGAAGGAAGGAAGGAAGAAAGGAAAGAAGGAAGGAAGGAAGGAAAGCGGGCAAGCATGTGCCATTTTTATCACTTGAAATGACAGGTTTACAAAATTGAACAGATCACTGATTACCTGAGGCTGCAAAATGGGGACTCTGGCCAGTGGGGATAAGACCGCTAGCAATATATAATTTCTTGGTCAAAGCAGTTGACTACAGTTTTGAAACATGTTACTACTGAGAGTAGGCAGTATATGGTTTCTCCTGGTGTTATTTCTTATAGCTGTGTGTGAATCTGTCTTGAAATAGTAAACACTAAAATCTGAGCCAGGCACAATGCCTATAATGGCTCATGCCTATAATCCTGGCTACTCAGGAAGCTGAGATCTGAGGATCACAGTTCACAGTCTGAGGAGGAAAGTCCCTGAGACTCTTAACTCCAATTAACAATCAGGAAACCAGAAGTGGCACTGTGGCAGAATGGTAGAATGTGGTAGATTGCTAGGGACAGTAACTACCAGCACCTAGGCCCTGAGTTCAAGCCCCATGGAAAAAAAAAAATCCTTTTATAAATCAAAAGACATAGACAAGAAGAGGGCATATAAGATTTATTCCCAGCCAGATACCACTGGCTCACACCTGTAATCCAAGCTATTCAAGAGGCTGAGATCTGAGGATTATGGTTCAAAGCCAGCTTGGGCAACAACGTCTATGAGACTCTCCAATTAGCCACCAAAAAGCCAGAAGTGGAGTTGTGGCTCAAGTGGTAGAGCACTAGCCTTGATCATAAAAACTAAGGGACAGTGCCCAGGCCTTGAGTTCAAGCCCCAGGATTAGCACACATAAAGTTATTTACAATAGCAAAACATTTTTAAAAGGTTATTAATTACTAGGAAAACAATTAAGAAAATGTAATAATTTTAAGGCATACTTTTTTTTTTGCCAGTCCTGGGGCTTGAACTTAGGGCTTGGGCACTGTTCCTGAGCTTTTGCTCAAGGCTAGCACTCTACCACTTGAGACACAGAGCCACTTCTAGCCTTTTCTGTATATATGGTACTGGGGAATCGAATCCAGGACTTTATGCATGCTAGGCAAGCACTCTACCACTAAGCCACATTCCCAGCCTAGGCTTGGGCGCTGTCCCTCAGCTCTTCAGCTCAAAGCGAGCGCTCTACCACTTAAGCCACAGCACTACTTCCAGTTTTCTGGTGGTTTATTGGAGATAAGAGTCTCACGGACTTTCCTGCCCAGGAAGGCTTTGAACCGTGATCCTCAGATCTCAGCCTCCTGAGTAGCTAGGATTACAGGCATGAGCTACTGGCATCTGGCTATGATGATGTTTTTTAAATTAGTAAGTAATGATATATTTTATATTCAAGGTAACTGATGATTGGCCTGACCTCCTTTCATGTCTAGATACTAGAAGTATATAAGATAGGTATAGAGTATGTTTGTTGATACAAAGATTATCCAAAAGAGAAACTAGAGCACTGTTCAGTTAGGGAAAAGACTACTTCAGCAGTCAGAAATAGCTAATAGGAGGCTCTATTAATCTTTAAGATAGGACTTAGGAAAGGCAATCAGTTGATAATAAATACTACTTTGTCCTTCCCTTGTACATTTGGAATCAGCTGAGAAGAAAATTCCAAATAAGTCCTTTTAAAATTTTAAACTCTTTCCATTTGGGCCACCCCCCAATACTTTTTGCTTTATATGGGGAGAGGGTATTGAGTTGCTCACCAGGTCAGGGGCTTGTTTTTTGTTTTGTTTTTTGTCAGTTGTGGGGCCTGAACTCGGCCTGGGCGCTGTCTCTCAGCTCTTCAGCTCAAGGCTAGCACTCTATCACTTGAGCCACAGCACCACTTCCAGCTTTTTCTGCTAATGTGGTGCTGAGGATCGACCCTAGGGCATCATGCATGCAAGGCAAGCGCTCTACCACTGAGCCACTTTCTCAGTCCCTAAGAATATTTTAAAAATAATTATTATAAAAGCTTTAGAGTAAACCAGAATGTTAGGCTATGGGGCCTAAACTTTGGACCTGGGTGCTGTCCCTTAGCTTTTCAGCTCAAAGCTAGCATTCTACCACTTGAGCCACAGCACCACTTCCAGCTTTTTCTGCTTATGTGGTGCTGAGGAATGGAACCCAGGGCCTCATGCATGCAAGGCAAGCACTCTACCACTGAGCCACCTTCCCAGCCCCTAGGCCATAAAAGTTTTAAAAGTATCACTTTTTTTTTTTTTGGTAGTACAGAGGTTAAAATCAGGGTTCTGTTCTTGCTAGGCATATGCTCTTTCCATTTGGGCCACCCCCCAATACTTTTTGCTTTATATGGGGAGAGGGTATTGAGTTGCTCACTAGGTCAGCTTGGACAGCAATCCTCCTATTTATGATTCCCTCATAGCTGGACTGACAGGCCCACGTTACCATGTCCAGCTCTAAAAATGTCAAATTTTATATAGTAGTAATTAATCTAAATATATTTATCCAAAGAAATACATTTGTGCTGTTAGAAATGGAACGCAGGGCCTCACACATACTAGGCAAATGCTCTTCCACTGAACTACATCCCCAGTGCCCACTCTCAAAAAAAAAAATATTTTGGTGATACTGGGTTTGAACCTCAGAGCTTGAGATTGCTAGCCCTCTACTATTGAGTCATGCCTCCAGCCTTTTTTGTACATTTTGCATTTGAAATAGGGACTACTTCCTGCTCAGGCCCATGCTTGGATTCTGACCCTCCTATTTTAGGCTTCCCAGAGCTAAAATAACAGGTGTGTGCCATTATGCTCAGCTATGGACTGAGAAAGGGCTCCGTCAAACTTTTCTGTCAGACTGACCTTGAACTGAAAGCCCCCTGCTCTCAGTCTTCCAAGTAGGCATGAGCCCACTTCCCCCAAATATATACATATATATATATATATATACATATATATATATATACATATATACATATATGTATATATATATATATATATGTATGTATGTATGTATATAGGGTGCTGTCCCTGAGATTGTTTTTCTCAAGGCTAGTGTTCTATTACTTGAGCCACAGATCCACTTCCAGCTTTTTGGCAGTTAATTAGAGATAAGAGTTTCAGACTTTGGCTGGGAAGGTGGCTCAGTGGTAGAGCGCTTGCCTTGCATGCATGAGGCCCTGGGTTCGATTCCTCAGCTCCACATAAGCAAAAAGAAAAAAACCGGAAGTGTCGCTGTGGCTCAAGTGGTAGAGAACTAGCCTTGAGTTGAAGAGCTGAGGGACAGCACCCAGGCCATGACTGGACCCAAAAACAAAAAACAAAAAGAGTTTCAGACTTTCCTGCCCAGACTGACTTGGAATATCAATCCTCAGATCTCAGCCTCCTGAGTAGCTAGAATTATAGACGTGAGCCTCTAATGGCCTGATGATAAGCCTGATAATAATAATAAAAAAATTGTGCTGGTCCTGAGGCTTGAACTCAGGGCCTGGGCATTGTCTCTGAGGTTTTCTGCTCAAGGCTAGCACTCTAACTCTTCAATTTCTGACTTTTTTTGGTAGTCAATTGGAGATAGGAGTCTCATGAACTTCCTAATTTTTAAAAGCACTTCTACATCTAGAATAATAGGCATTTGATATGTTTGTATCTCCAAGTAAGGTAGAGATAATTAAGTTTCAGAGATTTGCCTGGAGTGCTTTATTTTAGAAAGGAAAGAAATGAAGATCAAGCCCAGAAAAAAAAAATCATTATCTCAGTGGACCCTATCTTTCCAAGCAAATTTGATCACTTGATTTTTAACTGTCAGAGCACTTGGGGGAAGCTCCCTTGGATATGGGCTTAGGAGCAGCAGGAAGAACCAACACTAATTCACCAGACCAAGAAGGGTATGAATGCTGGAATCCGGAAGTGAAGCAAGGTGTGGTGACATGCCCAGAACCTCTCAGCACCTGGCCAGGCCCAGCTGCTGGCCTATACTTTTGTAATGGTAAATTTGAGGAGTCCAAATACCTGCTTTTCTCCCAACCTATTCAGTCCCCAATCAGGTCTTCAGAGTCCCTCTGACTGATGCTCAGAACTTCAGCTTCTGGCGATCCAATGACCCAGGAATGAGTCCAGAAGAAGCTATGCCTTGGATCTGGAATCCACGCCATTGCCTCATTAAGAGTCCAATGACCAGGTTAGGCTGAGAGGGGTCAGGGTGGGTCACCAAGAGAAATATTCTTCTCTTTACTGCAACCCTTCAGACCAGTTTCAGCATCACTCACAATGGGGAATTAGAGAGGTTTGGGTAAGATTTCCTTCAATGGAGTTAAAAACGTGTCACTGCTCTTCACCTCTCAGCAGGCCCAACACCAATGTCCATAGCATTCCTGTAGGAGCCGAGGATGTTTCTGCTCTCTTCATCTCCGTCTCTCCACTCTTTCCAACCACCACCCTACTGGCAGTAGTCCTACTTCATCAGTATTACCTCCCCCACTCTATCCTGAGACAATCTTGGGGTGCCCCCAAATCATACACCCTCCTGCCTGGCCTGGCTGAACCTGAGATGCATTTTCTCCATTTCAGATTTATGGAGCACTCTATTCTAAGCGACAGAACCTTCAGTCTCTATTGAGGATGTGGTCGCAGAAGGACAAGATGAAGTGTGGAAGGAATAGTGACTGACTAGTGGGGAGAGGGTTCAACAAAGCAGAGTAAAAGATGGGACCAGACACCACTTTGTGCACTGTTGGTAGGGAACAGGGAAATGCTCCCATGGCTCTGATTCCTATGAAAGGCGTGTAGGACTTGGCATAAGAGGTCTGGAGGGGCCAAGGTGCTGGAAAGAAAACAGTATAAGTCAGAGCTATACATCTGGGAAAACACAATGGCCTCTGCCATGCTGAAGAGCTTAGTGTAGTCAAGCTTCTCCCAAGGCATTGTAGCTTCATCCTGGCAGGTAGAAAGCCACCCAAAGCTCTAGGACCATAGATGAAAGAGGCCCATAGAGCCTTGGGGCAAGAAACCACTGATGTGGCTTTGTCATATCTGACCCAACCCAGGGCCCAGAACAGCTGCAGAGAACAGGGAGTTTTACAAAGCGTCTTGATTTTATTGATATTTAAATATATTAAATATTTCACTGAAATACATGGTACACCACCTTCCCCCACTCCCACAGTGGTTACATTATAAAACCAAAGCCCATGGCCTCTCAGCCCCTGACTCCCCTACCAACGGTGAGGAAAAAGAGCGATGGTAATCCAGAGGAAGGGCATAGCTGGCACTGTGGCACAGGGAGCCGGGGTGTGGGGAGGCCCCTCCCGCCTGGCAAGAAGCAGAGACAAGTCCCCCAAGGCCAAGGGTTTCCCACCCTGGCTTACTTACCCCCTCATCCCTACTCCATGGCACCAACCATTCCCTCCTCTTCTGGGATATGGCTGGGGGGGAGGGGAGTCAGTTTTCTGTCTAAACCAAATAGTTTTTCCACCCCCTTCTCTGATTTGGCAAATGAGTTGCCTGGTGGCCCATTTGTTGATTCATGAAAATCTCCAAAGCAGGCAGTACCAAGCCAGAAATCAGGCCTCTTGCAGGGAGCTGGTATCAGAAGAAGCATAAGGATAGGCAAGAAAACTTCCTGTCCCTTCCACTCCTCCCTTCCCCCAACCTCTTTCTCCTCTGCCTTCCTAGTCAACTTCAAGCAAAATTCAGGCTACTGCCTCTGGCTTAAATAGGTACAGGAAAAGAAACCAAGGCACCAGTTACTTCAGGCCAGAGTCAAGGAGGATGCAGGGAAAGGGGTAAAAGGAAGGCAAGGGCAGGAAGGGAATCTAGAGTCCAACTTCCTAACCTGTCTACCAGCATTTGCATGTTTCACAGGGATTGGGAGCTGGGGCTAGTCTAGCTGGGCTAGACTGAGACTGAAGTTGAAGGTTTCCCTGCCCCCATCCCCTAGTACCAGTATCTGGGTCCTCAGAGGGAGCCCATGCTACTACCCCAGTCACAATGCCTACAACATTCCAGGACACAAGCTGGCAAACCCAGAAATTTTCTGGGCTTTTGGCCACCAAAACCCCAGACAGTTCCAGTGCATAGAGCACTGGAGCTCAAGCAAATGCTTGCTTGGGTCCCTGCCCCAGGCGGGGAGACAGTCATACTGCACACATGGCCCCCAAAACGGCACTTAGGGATTTGGCACAAAAAAAAAAAGGAACTCCTCTCCCCAGGCCCATCCTTTTTCTATCACACACCCCCATTCTCCTCTGTACTACCCGGGCATCTCTCTCCATCTCTTGCAACATGAAACCCTGCCTTAATCCCAGAAGACAGAGGCCCCTAGGAGAGGGGCAGCCCAGGTGGACAGCTGAGGAGCAGGAGCACAAGGACACACACAGACCTGGAAAACAGATATGCACACAAACAGCAACATGCACACACAGTTACACAAACACACAGGTCCTCCCCAGTGCCAGTCTTGGGGTGGGACCAGGTTTGGGATCAGGGTCATCTTCCTTAAAGTGCCCTGACCCTTTTCTATTTGGCAACAGAAGGGGTAGAGATGCTCCATGCCCCGCCCGCCCCGCTTTGCCCACAGACAGCCGGAGGAGCCATCGAGGGAGCTAATACTGGCCCCTCCCTGGCCTCCTGCACTCTTTGGCACCTGTAAGTGAACGTCCAGCTCCTGATCTTCTGACATCCACACACACACAGGCTTTCTCTCTGGCTGGGCATTTTCACAGTACCAGTGAGACCCAGACACCTCTTTCCCTGGAGCATGTAGGAATCGAGGCTTAACTCTGAGCTGTCAGAGGTCCCTTTGTTCCCCTTTGGGGACAGATCATAGGACTAGGATTTGGCAAATGGAAATATTCCCCTGAAATGTGAACAGAGCTGGGTCCCTTCCTTTGCCCTGCAGCTAGGAAAACAAACAAACAAAACTAGCTGAGGCTAGTGGTACCCAAAAACTGGTTTTGGGTATAGCAAAGGCAAGCATGGCATAGGCACTCCTCATGCCTGCCCCAGCCTCTGTACAAAATATTCCCAGGGAAAAAACAAAAACAAAAACAAGAAGAAAGGAAGGAAGGACCAAGCCCTGAGCCCATTGCCCACAGACAGGGAAACAGTTAGGCATGGCAAGTTGCCCTTTAAATTCCTCAGGCAGGAAGGTAGGGCTACCTCCACTTCTGCTGCTGTCCCCTCGACTGCTCCCAAACACTGGAAGAACGTGGAGAGGGAACAGGCCTGTCCCAAGTAAAAGAAGAAAGTTGCTTGGATAATTGCTTCTTGGATTATCCAGTCGGAGGCATTGGTCCATCGTCCAGGCACAGCCTGCTGGAGTGTTCCCTTTTTGTCATTAGCAAGATCTGGAGGCTCAGTGCCACTTGCCACAGCTCGCCCATGCAAGCAGAGTTCACTCAATGCCCACCTTGATCCCTTCAGGTGAATGTGTAGCTGGGCCCTGCTAACTGCTAGGGCCCCCATTGAGGAAGTAGGTGGTCATCTCTCCCTTGCCCTTTACCTTGACCACCCCTCGACACTCCAGTTGGTAGCCCTTGGCAGCTAGAACCTGGTACAGGTCCGTGGTCACCTGGGGGAATGGGAGAGGAACCTGCTTAGCCCAAAATCTATCCTGCTACATTTGCAGAAGAACATGGGCTCTCTAGACAGGCTAGCTCCCCTCCCCCCACCCCACCAGCCACAGAAGACTGCCACCCTGCCTCTGTCCCATAGAAAGACCTGGAAGCTGTCTGTATCCATGCCCCTCTCCCAGCCTTGGCTCACATCCCCCTCACCTGTATTCGATCAGGAACCCCTGTGCTGTCCATACGACTAGAGACATTCACTGTGTTCCCCCAGATGTCATACTGTGGTTTCCGAGCCCCAATGACGCCTGCTACAACTGGGCCCATGTTCAGTCCTGAGGCGGGGAGAACAGCAAGGCATCAGGGCTAGTGGGTGCACCAGGGCCAGCCCATGGGAGTTATCCCACCTGCTGGCACCTTGAGGAGCCAGAGGAAAAAAATAGAAAAGGAGCTGAGGGCCAGTGGCTCACACCCATAATCCTAGTTCGAAGCTAGCCCAAGTAAGAAAGTCTGTGAGAGTATTCTCTCTTAAGTAACCAGCAAAAAGCTGGAAGTAGAGGTGTAGCTCAAGTGATAGAGCATCAGCCTTAAGCAAAAAAGCTAAGGGACAGCACCAAGGCCCTGAGTTCAAGTCCAAGTATCAACATACACACACACACACACACACACACACACACACACAAAGAGGAAGATTTCTCCTTGGGAGTCTAGAAAACCATGTTGTAACAGAAGCTACTCTGTGCAAGCTACCAGAAGAAGCATTTTACGCTGTTGCTTCTGCAACACCTCTCAAAGCTAAGCAGTACTATCCATATTTTATAGACAAGGTACTAGGGTGATACAGTAAATAGTAGCTGAGAATGTGGCTTAGTGGTAGAGTGCTTGCCTAGCATGCATGAAGCCCTGGGTTCCATTCCTCAGTACCACATACACAGAAAAAGCTCAGGGACAGTGCCCAGGCCCCGAGTTCAAGGCCCAGGACTGGCAAAAAACAAACAAAAAAAACTACGGTAGCTAGAGCAGCCATTGTAACAAACTAGTCTGACTCCAGAACCATCTATTAACTAACCACTGCCTGCCGCCAGTTCATCTGAGAGGAAACACTTCTAGCAGACTGGCTACAGATAAAGACTCAAGCACTGGAGTTTAGATAAACTTGGTGTCACTCCCCTGCTCAGCCACTTACTAGACATTTGACCTTGAGTGAGTAATCTCTGACAGTCTCCTTATCTTTAAAAAGGGGGATAATAATGTGAGGATTAAAATGTGCTAAAAATATAAGGACAGAGCACAGCACACTGTAGACTCACAGTAAACAGTCTCCGTGTGTGTGTGTGTGTGTGTGTGTGTGTGTGTGTGTGTGTGTGTGTGTGTGTGTGTATCTGTGTCTGTGTCTGTATCTGTACTTGGGACTAGAACTCAGGAGCTGGCCATTGTTCCTTAGCTTTTTCACTCAAGGCTGGCAATTTATCAATTGAACCACACCTCCACTTCTGGTTTTTTGAAGGATAATTAGAGATAAGATTCTGACAGAAGCCTAGGCTGGGGACTGTGATCCTCCCATCTCAGCCTGAATAGCTAGGATTACAGATGAGAGCCACTGGTGCCAAGTCTAGTCTCTGTTCTTGCTATGATAGGTGATATCAAAGGTGGGAAGGAAGCTGGGCGCTAGAGATTCACTACAATCCTAGCTACTCATGAGGCTGAGATCTGAGGATCTTGGTTCTAAACCACCCCAGGCAAGAAAGGCCATCAAACTCTTATCTCCAATCAACCACCAGAGAAACAGAAGTGGTGTTGTGGCTCAAAGTGGTAGAGTACTAGACTTGAGCCAAAAAGCTCAGGGACAGCACCTAGGCCCTGAGTTCAATCCCCACAACCAGAAGAAGAAGAAGAAAAAAAAAAGGTGGGAAGGAGAAGAAGCTCCACCCCTGTGACCCCATCCCAGCCTGTACCCTCAGCTTCACCCAGAAACGAGTCCTGGGGGAAATCTGTCAAAGGACCAGGTCCTCTCACCAATCTTCATCTGGAAATTATTGAAGGAGTGTTCATTGATGTGCTTCATCTGCTCCATGAGCCGCATGGCGTAGTCGGCCAGGGCGGTGATGTGGGAGCGGCCCACCTGATCATAGGTGCTGGCATTCAGCCCAGATGCAGCCATGTATGTGCTACCAATGGTCTTGATCTTCTCCAGCTGCCGGAACCGCTCCTCACTGATGATCTGGACAAACACAAGGGATCTGGCTATCAAAGCAAAGAAACCAAACACAGCCTTCCCCACAGTTCATCCATGCCCTGCTTTGGCTGGCTTCCACTCTTCCCTGTCTCAATAGAGCCCCTCATTTAGTAGATGGTTCCATTCCAACGGCCACTTTCAGGGCTGGTCTGAGGAGTCAAGAAACCAAACAATCCAAGACCCTAGGACAAGAATTACGCATACAACCTTTTCTGAAAGGCTAAGTGGGATGGCCCCTCACAGAATATAGGATAGCAGAGAGAAGGTTAAGCAGTAACTCCTTTTGGGGAACTGAGTACCATAGTAAGGAAGGGCCTTCCTCTGAACAGTGAAGGGGGGGGGGGCGGGGGGGGGGCGGGAGGGAGGGCGGTTCTTGCTGGTCATGGGGCTCTGTCCCTGTGCTTTTTTAAGGCCAATGCTCTAACACTTTGAGCCACAGTGCCAACTGGAGATAAGAGTCTCACGATTTTTCTGCCTGGGCTGGCTTTGAACCATGATCCTCAGATCTCAACCTCCTGAGTAGCCAGGATTAGAGGCGTGAGCCACCAGTGCCCAGTGAAGGTCTGTTCTTTCTTTCTTTTTTTTTTTTTTTTTTGGTCATGGGGCTTGAACTCTGGGCCTGAGTGCTGTCCCTCAGCTCTACAGCTCCAGGCTAACGCTCTACCACTTGAGCTACAGTGCCACTTCCGAAGGTCTGTTCTTGACCCAAGTATTCAGGATCCTTTCTCACATTTTTCTTGCATTTTCTCAAGGGACCATTTTATATAACTTGTCCTCACAGGTCTCAGCCCATACACTATTGCTTTCCTCTTTTTATTTATTTTGTGCTGGTTTTAAGGCTCGAACTCAGAGCCCAGGCACTGTCCCTGAGCTATGTTGCTCAAGGCTGGTGCTCTTGAGCATCTCTTCAGCCACAGCTCTACTTCCAGCTTTTCAGGTAGTTAATTAGAGATTAAGAGTCTCACAGACTTGGTTGCCCAGGCTGGCTTCCAACCTCAATTTTAAGATCTCAGCCTCCTGTGTAGCTAGGATTACAGGTGTGAGCCACCAGCACCCAGCTTGCTTTTCTCTGTTATAATACTAATTATTATAATAAAATTATAACATAATAATATAATACATAATAAAAACACTAAGTATAATACTAAATATTACTAGTTAATATTGCTACCTATCTTGTCCCACACAGTTCTTTATGTTCTCCTTTGTTCTCCAATAAAGATAAGCCTACACACCCCACTGGAGCTGCCTTTCATACTTCCCTTAGCTGCCTTTCATACTTCCTGGGTTCCTGTTCCTACCTCTCCTTACCCCCACCTGTGACACCTGGGACCCTCATCAAATCTCCTGTTATCCCAGTAGCACACACCCCTTTCAACCAGGGTCTTCAACCCTGGTCCTCAGCCAGCGCCAGCCAATAGATAAGTACCTCATCAAAGTCAGCGATGATCTCATTGAGCAGCCGCAGGCACTCGACACCCTCATTGTTTGCCTCCAACTCCACATAGAACTCAGAGAAATTGGCAATGGAGGCAAACATAACAGCCACGCATTCACACGACTGATAGTAGAGCTCATCATTCCGGCGTTCCCGGGCCAGGAAGTGAGCAGCCACATCCTTGGGCAGAATGTTATGCAGAAGCCGCCGGTTGTAAGCCTGGAGCTCCTCCATCTCTTCCTTCTCCCCTGTTGCCTGTGGATACCACACCATTGCCCAGCAGTCACCAAGGAGGAACACAGTGGTCAAAATGGGCACCAGAGAGAATCACATGCAGAAAGAAAAGCTTAGGACAGATGAGGCCTAAAGAATGGGCAAGGAAGTGGTGCTGAGGCTCAGCTCAAGTGGTAGAGCACTGGCCTTGATCACAAAGACACTCAGGGACAGCACCTAGGCCCTGAGTTCAAACCCCACAACCAACCAAAAAAAAAAAAAAAAAAAAAAGAATACATGCAATTCTGTAGCCTGTAATTCTAGCTACTCAGGAGGCTGAGATCTGAATTTGAAGTGAAAGTCCTTGAGACTCTTTGTCTCCAATTAACCACCAAAAAGCCAGAAGTGGAGGTCTTATTCAAGTGGTAGAGCACCAGCCTTGAGCAAAACACTAAAGTATAGAGTGCCCTGGCCCTGAGTTCAAGCCCCAGTACCAGCACACACACACACACACACACACACACACACACACACACACAAATGTAGGGAACAGATAAAGAATGGGGTAGGAGACGGAAAATAGGTACAAAGAGGCATGGAGCCAGGACAGACTTTAGACTTAGGGGCCTGAGCCTTGGCCAGATAGCAAGAGATGTATCTGCAACTTGACCTAGGCTCTGCCCCCATACTCCTCCTCCTCCCCCACCCAAGTCACCTGCAGTTTCCAGAGGAAGTCCAGGCGAGCTGTTGACTCCACCTGCTGGGCATGCAGATACAGTGCCAGCACAAACACCAGCAGAATCACGGGGGTCATGTATTTGAGGGCCACTCTCCCTGAAGCTGGGCTGAAGATAAGCAGAGAGGTATGCTTGGTATCTGAAGGAGGCATCGGCCAGACTTACCCTTTGCCTCCCTGGAACCTACGCTTACCATTCCAGCTCATTAAAGGTCTCATTGGAAGAAGCCCTGGCAGGAAGATACAAAAGACAAAGTCACTGGGAAGGTCACGGAGGTCAATTTTTATTTTTGGTCAATTGTAGGGCTTGAACTCTGGGCCTGGGCACTGTCCCTCAGCTGGTCCCTTCAAGGCTAGTGCTCTACCACTTAAGCCATAGAACCACTTCCGGCTTTTTCTGTGTATGTAGTACTGAGGAATGGAACCCAGGGCCTCATGCATGCAAGGCAAGCATTCTAACATTCTACCACTGAGCCACCTTCCCAGCCCCCATCTCCGGTTTTTGAGGACTTTTCTGCCCAGATTGGCTTTGAACCTCGATTCTCAGATCTTAGCCTCCTGAATAGCTAGGATTACAGGTGTGAACAATTGGTGCCCAGCTCCAAAGGCTCTTTCTACAACCAACTGTGGCCACATATCACAAAAGATAGGAGTTTGCAGAGGAAAAGCAAGTGTGGTGTCCAAAAATAAACCTCAAAACAGAGGAGTCGGGCGGGGCACTGGAGGCTCACGCCTGTAATCCTAGCTTTTCAGGAGGCTGAGATCTGAGGATCACGGTTCAAAGTGAACCCTCAGCAGGAAAGTCCATAAGACTCTTGCCTCCAATTAACTACCAGAAAATCAGATGTGGCACAGTGACTCAACGTGGTAGAGTGCTAACCTTGAGCAAAATAGCTCAGGGACAGCACCCAGGCCCTAGTTCAAGCCCTAAATCTGACCAAAACAAAACAAAGCAAAACAAAAAAAAATAGGAGTGAGAGGTTTGGTTTCTAGCCAGTATGGCTCTGCCACCAAGCAGGTGGTTATGACAGTGAGTAGTAGGAAAGTACCATGAAAATGAGAGGGAATTTTTTTTTTTTTAATCTAGCCTAATGACAGGAATTTCCCTTGATTGGGGTTTCCTTGGACGAAATGCTTAGGGTCCCAGGCGCTCCCTCATCTCTTCCCTTTCTCCCACGGGTAAGTGGTAGTATTCTAAAAGCACAAAGGACTGGGCTCCAGTGCTTCTCAGTGACCCTTCAGCATCAAGGAGACTCTTTGGGTAACTTACAAAGCTTAGAATCAACTTACAAGCCATGGACACCAAGCAGGAGGTCATAGTTGTCAAAGATGGTAGCTGCCGGACCCAGCAGAAGCAGCACCAAATAGATGAGTCCCAAGACAATAGTCATGGCCAACTTGCCAATGCTGCTGATGTGCAGGAAGACAGAGCTGGCCAAGAGGCTAAGCAGCATGTTCCCGACGAAGTACTGGAGGGGGGTGGGTGGGAGAATGGTGGCAGAGGCAGTGTTGGGTGACAGAAGAGGCCAGGGCACCCGGGACAGGGAGGGCCCTGTACTCTTCTTCCTGATACATCTTCCCCTCCACAGCCCTCAAACTCCAGCTCCCTTCACCCTCCATTCCCAGCCTATACTACCCCAGAATCCCTGATGGCTCCTGGAGTTGGGAGGACTCTCATGAGTTTCAGGATCCCCAGTGCCCATCACCAGGCCTGGCATAGAGGGGGGACCCCCCTGTCTGAACTACTTGGACACCTCAGGGAAGCTGCAGGTGGGTGCGGTGCCCTCACACAGGGGAGCATCCAGGCCCAGAGAGTAATTGAGCTGTTGTAGGTGGCAGGTGGTGATGTCAGCGGGGGTTAAATTCAACATCTGGGCTGCACAGGTCCGTATGGGAGTGTGGTTACAGGTGAACTGCAAAAATTAGGTGTATATTAGGAGAACCAAAGAGAAGAAAGGCCACATTCCAGGGAATGAGTTCTCAAGGATGACAAGAAGTGGAGGAAATCAAAGAGGGAGGACTAGAGATATACCCTCTTCTTCCCCCTCTTGCTCCTCCTTCCCCCCCCCACCCCCTCCCTCATCCTCCTCTTCCTCCTCCTCTGGGCTGGTAGGCACCTTGAGGGCAGGAAACATGTCATTCCCCTCTGCATTCCCAGTCCCCAGAAGAGGGACTGGCAGAGAGTAGAGGTGGCACAATTCTCAACAGGACCCTTACCATGTTGGCAATGGCAGAGATGAACACAAGCAGGACTGAGAAGATGCCAACTGCTGTGCTGTGTGCCCGGGAGCGAACAATGCTCCGGGATAGACGCTGTAGGACCTTGGGGAACAGCTGGAGTAGCAAAAGACCAAGAAGCAGATGCCATGTTAACTAAGGGGGAAGAGTAAACATGACGCATGGCCTCCTCTGTCTTACTATATGGAGCTCTGGGGCAGTCCCCTTACATACAGAACCACAGGAGTACACAGCACAGATCAGTACAGTGACCAGCAGCAGCAGGAAGATGCTGATGTAGATCCCAAGCATCAGGGTGGAGCTGGAACAGAAGGGAAGGGTTACTCAGGAAGATGTGGGCGTACCTGTCCCCCCCTTGAAACAGGCACCAAGGAATAGGGATCTTGTGTGGGTATTTAGGAAGGTTCTAGAAAGTGGTAAGGAGAGACAGGACTCTCACTGTGGGAAGATGAGGAGCTGGATGAAGCAGATGAAACAGAAGACCAACAGGGCACAGGCAACATAGGCTCCAAAGCGAGGATCCACCTTCCGTGAGTACTAGTAGGAAGAGATGGAGCTGGATGAGAGGCCCTGCTCTGCAAAGAACAAGCCCAGGGCACTACTAGGGCCCTCAGAGAAGAAAGAGTTGGCCCATTTAGTGTGAATGTCCATGCCACTCTGTGGTCTCCCTGCCCCCACATCTCACTCCCAATGATTACTCCTGATCCCTCTCTTATGCTCAGCCCCCAGACCTCATCCTTTTTCCCTGTATCCCCCAAACCTTCTTTTCAAGATCCTCTCTCTGGAAGGTGAGCAGGAACCGGCGCACATGGTCCTTCCGCAGCTGATCGATGCTGCGGGCATCAATGGCACGGCCCAGGAACTCATCAACCTCATCCTCAGGGTTCAGGGCATCTTGAGCACCTCGGCTGAGAGCAGGGAACTTGCTTTACCAGGTGCGTGAGCAGTAAGGGTCACATGATAACGGGAGGGCTCCAGAGGCAGCCAAGGGCGGGGAGGGGGCTGTGAAGCCTGCGTGGCTGCTGCTCACACAGCCCATCAAAGGCCCGGGAGAGAGGGGACTCTCATTTTCCACAGCCCCAAGGCCCGGGAGAGAGGGGACTCTCATTTTCCACAGCCCCATCCCAGAGTCTTTTCCCTCCTCCCTCTCTTCCTCAGTGTTCTGACTTACTTGTCTTTGCTGGAATCATCAATGCCCTGGAGAAAGGGACAGAATGTGTAAGTTAGGTAAGAGGCCAGCCACTGTTGCTTTGCTGTCTCTTCCCACGTCCCAACTAGGCTGAGGTTTCCCCCAAAGAGACTTGGAGCCAGGCACTGGTGGCTCACACCTGTACTCCTAGCTATTCAGGAGACTGAGATCTCAGGATCACAGTTTGAAGCCAGCCCAGTCAGGAAAGTACATGAGACTCTTATCGCCAATTAATCACAGAAAAAGCCAGACGTGGAGGTGCTCAAGCACTGGCCTTGAGTAAAAGGAGCTCAGAGTACCCAGGCCCAGAGGTCAAGCCCCAGGACTGGAAAAAAAAAAAAAAAAAGACCTGGGGGTAGGGCCCTTGGAATGAAGCCATGCTTCCCACTCCCTGTATCAGAAAGCATATATGGAAAAGGCAATCACAGAAAGGAAAGGCATCATGGAATAACTGAGTGCTAAGGGAAACAAGAAAGTAAGGTCTCTTACCATCTGGCGGAACGCCTTGGAGTCCTTGGTCCGGGAGAAGGCCCGATCAGGAACCCAGCGTGGCATCAGTCCTTCCATGGAATTGGCCCGTGTCCTCTGTAGCTTGGCCAGCATGGCCTTTTCCTCTTTCTGTGTGGGCAGAGATGGATAAAGCCTCAAAGAAGGACTTTAAGAAGGCTTTTGCTAGCCTGGTGCTGCTGGCTCATGCCTGTAATCCTAACTACTCAGGAGGCTGAGATCTGAGGATTGCAGTTCAAAGCCAGCCCAGGCAGGAAAGTCTGGAAGACATTTATCTCCAATTAACCAACAGACAACCGGAAGTGGTGCTGTGGCTCAGAGTGGCAGAACACTAGCCTTGTGCAAAATAGCTCAGGGACAGTGTCCAAGCCCTGAGTTCAAGCCCTATCACCACCAACAACAACAAAATAAGGATTCTGCGGCTCCCATTTGTCCGTGTCCTTGTCTGCCCCTCCCCAACCCCAGCTCTGCCTTGATTCTGACCCGTTTCTGGCTGGCACCCAGGATGAGGAAGGTCTCAATGCGTTGCTCCTTGAGATATGCGTTGCGCTCACCACCACGGCCCGGCTCCACCTCATAGTCTCCATTCAGATACTGCAGCGTGGCCCGAGTGATGTGGATGCGGCTATATGGGGCCGGGAGGTGAGATATGGGTTCTCCAATCTCATGCCCATTCCCATCCTCCTAGACCTCTCCACTCACCCAGCCCGGCCCCCTGCCTCCATGTGGTTGGCCAGGGTTACATCGTTGGACCACACATCGAACTGCCACTTCCGCAGACCAAGGACACCGCAGTGCACACGTCCACTATGGATGCCCACACGCATGTTGACATTCACGCCTGTCACCTCACGCACTAATCTGGGAAGATAAAACTCCTGATCAACCCCTGGGACAGTCTTCCCCTCTCCCAAGCCCAGAACCCAGGCATCCCAATGGGCAAGGAGAGACCCAGATGCAGCAGACAGAAGCACAGCCTTGGCTGGACTTGGGCAGATCACACAGGACCCAAGAACAAAGATTGGAGAATTTGTGTTTATCAGGGCCTGGCCAAATCTTGTGAGATTGAGCTGGGAGTGGAGGAATCAGTTCTCAGCTCTGGCCTGTTTAGCTATGATTCTCAGCATCCCCAACCCACACCCCTTTTCCCAGTCTCCTCTATCCTCCAGCCAGCTGAAGGATTCTCAGGAGTTTAAGTGAAGAAAAACTCACTCCCTTCCCAAGTGATAAAATAGATCTCAAGGATAAAGCACCAAGACTAAGCAAAATGCTTGAGGACACATCAAAGAATAGAAGCAGTCTGGGACACCCATAGTTCCAGAAAGCCTAGGAAGGGGGCACTGCTTACGAGATGGCCTCGATCATGTCCACCCCCATCTCCACACAGCAGTGGGCATGGTCTGCCCGAGCCTCTGGCAGCCCTGACACACAGTAGTAACAGTCACCTAAGATCTTGATCCTCAGACAATGGTTTTCCTGAAAGGGGAGAGGTGAAGGGAAAGAAAGGTCTTTACTCTCTCATGTACCATCCTCACTGCAGCCTCTAATCTACCCCCCATGTCCCCCCCACCCCGCAGCCACCACCAGCAAAGCTGTGTTCTCACCACAGTCCAAACTGCCCCCAAGCCCCAGCACCCTCACCGCTGCCAGCTTGTCAAACCGGGCAAAGAGCTCATTCAAGGTCATGACCAGTTCCTGCGCAGTGCACTGGGAGGCCAGGCTGGTGAAGCCCTCAATGTCTGCAAATAGGATGCTATGGACAACAGCAAAAGACAAGATAGTCCATATAAGCCCTTGAAGAGTCTCTTAAACACCCCGCCGCCGCCACCTCCCTGACATCTCTACCTGACATTGTCGTGCTTCTGGATGTAGATCTTGTGGAACATCATGTCTTCTTTTTTTGTGTTGATATCTTCTTTCATCTCCATGGCAACATGCTGGGGCAACACTGACAGTAGCAGCCGCTCCTAGACCAGTGGTTCCAACAGGACACTGCTATCTTCTTTGTTTCACATTTTGATCCTCCCCCAGCCATTTTGCATTGCCAGGGCCCTCCTGTACCTTTCTGGTGATCTGAGCTTTCAAATTCCCTTCTGGACCATAGTTTGACTCTACCCATCTGAGCCCTCAGCAGACATCCATCCCACCCTTCCCAGCTCCTATTCAATTCTCTAAATGTACTCTTGTCTGCTCTTTCCCACCCTTGGACAGGATAGGCCCCCAGGATCAAAGGTATCTGTGATGCAGTCTAAGGGGACCATTCAGATTGGGCTCTACAGATTCCCGTAAAGCTGAGGATCCAATCTTCTAATAACTTGGGAGTGAGATGGGGGCGGGGGGAATCAGGGGGCACACCCCCCAGTCAGAGGAAGCAGCCCACACCTGCTGCCGATTCTCATGCTGCAGGTGCAGTCGAGCCTGGATGTAACCGCGAGTCTCCTGAAAGGCTTGGCGTTGAGACACTTCAGCAGGGTAGTGTGTGCAGATGCCAATGACGTTGGTGCAGAAGAAGAGCACCACGTTAGCACCAAGCTGCAGGAGGGTGGCAGAGGCAGATGGTGACCACCTTTCAACACACACACACACACACACACACACACACACACACACACACACACACACACACACACACCCTGCCAAGCTGTCACAACTCATTTCTTTGGGCAAAAAGAGGGTCGTTTGCCCTTTCTATCTCCAAACGGTGCCCATTCTGCAGTGCATCTCTTCTATTCCCCCACAGGATTCCAGATCCTAGCCCTGTGCCTGAATCCATGACTACAACAGCGTTCTTTTCAGCTTCAGGGAACAAGGGCACCAACTAGGGCCAAGTAGGTCATGGAGTCCTGCCCCAATACTCTGATCTCCTGCCCCACAAGGATCTCAAGCAAAAGACAAATGCTGTTTTCTCTGTATTGGTTCTTTCTACAAGAGGCCAGCACCCAGAAGGCCTGAGCTCTCCTCCTATGTGAGACCCATGTCAAGTAATCTCACCTTTCTGGGCCTCTCTATGTTCATCTATAACCCAGACAGGGGAAATAAGATCTGTAAAGTCTCTCCCTGCCCTGTTAGACTGAATAAATATAATTAATACTATTACTATTACTGTTATTACCATACTCAGTTTCTTGGGCACCTCCAATATGCTAGAAATCTAGGTTTTGTTGTTGTTTTCCTTGTGCCACCCCAGAGCTCTTCTGCTCAAGGCTAGTGCTTTACCACTTGAATCACAGTTCCACTTCTTCCAGCATTTTGGTGGTTAATTGGAGATAAGAGCCTCAAATCTCCGCTTCCTAAGTATCTAGGATTACAGGCATGAGCCACTGGCGCCTGGCATGTGCCAGGATACTAAGGGCCCTTTCTAGATCGTAACAAACGCATTTCTTACAACTCTATGAATTAGGTAACCATATCCCATTTCAAAATTGAGACTTTGACACAGAACTCATTAACTTGCCCAAGACTGCATCGTGGATTGTGGCTGATTGAGTCCAGGACAGCACTGCATTCTATACTCTCTCTGTCCAGTGCATCCCAGGTTTTTGAGGCTCCTCTTCTCTCTACTGACTAGCTGTTGAGGATCAACCTGAGTTCAGGCTTACGAATTACCCGTTCTTCTGACACAGGAACTACCCTTCCATTGGGGCTGAGGTGCCACTGTGCCTGACCACCACCACCCCTGACGTTTGTCTTAACCCTGCCAGGCCCCACACCTAGGAACGGCCCGCACCCTAGATATAGTCAGCTTTCCATCACCATCGGTAGCATTGTGTAGGGAGCAAGTCCAGCTTTACTGTTGCTGGAAACTCAGGGGTTAAGCTGGGACTTGCAGCTCCACCCCGAGCTGGATAGGGCAGGGCTGTGGTTGGGGAGAAGGGAGGGAAAGCTCACCAACAGCCCTGAACCAGAACTAGTCCTACAGATTTGGAAAGGACACTCAATCTTTAGGACCTCAGTTCCTCTGTGTGAAACTGTGGTTTGCCTAACCCCTAGGCATTTCAGCTTTGACCCTTTAAAATTGGTCTCCTAACTTCCCTTCCCTGTCCACAGCACAAGGCCTCAAACGGGCCTAAGCGGATCTCTCCCTTCCAGCAGTAGGGGTGAAGAGGGGGCACACAATCTCCCTTGGGGGCTTCTAAGAATAGTCCCTAGTAGAAGAGAGTCGAAAGGGGGGGCACAAAACAGGCAACTTCCCTTCCTAGCCCCAGGAGCCCTAAAGGAAAATGTGAGTCATGCTGGAGGGAAGGGGAAGAGGGATGAGAGACTGAAATAACTCTATCCACACATATCCCTGTCCACTGTGAGGAAAAAAAAAAAAAAGGATGCTAGGGCATTGGGAGGGACTTCTGCCTAGGCTGGGGTCACTGGATGAAAGTATTCCATGGATCTAAAGGAGTGAGTCAGGGAAGAAAGGCCCTTCTCACCATCCTGAGCTGAGAAGAGACTAGTCTAAGAGGTTAGAAAAGAGACCACAAGTCTCCACCCCATCCAGAAACCCACAGCCCCAAAGGGGCACCAGGAATTGTCCTCATTGCCCCAGGCTGGCATAGGCAGCATGGCTTTCTTTTTCATGTGTGTGTGTGCTGAGACCCATGGGATCAGGCTGTAGCCAGGCACCCCTGAGGAGATGGGAGGCTGGCAGTCCTGTCCTCCCTAAGGCTGAGCCTCCCCAATCAGTACTCAGCCTGGCTCTGGGCCCCATGCCAGCTGAGAGCAGGAACGAGAAACACACCCAGCTCCTGGCCAGCCCAAGAGGAAGGGGGAGGGGAGGAACTACCTTCAAACTCCTTCTCCCCTAAGAAGGGCAATCCAATTTCAGCCCCCAGCTTGACAAGACAATCTGGAAGAGGATCTGGGGGACTAGCATGAGCAGAAAGATCTGGCCCTTTAAGAAATCGCATAGTGCCCAGCAGGCATATGCTTCACAAACAAACCAGCTATAAAGTTACTTTGAAAAAGGTACTTTCTGTTCAGGAGTGCAGGCTGGGTGGGGATGGGCATCATGCCAGAGCACCCAGCCTCTCATCCCAGGAGACCCAAGCAACTTCCTCTCCATGCATGAGGCCATGGTGGGCTATAAGGCCATGAGCCTTTGACAAGGCAGTGATTGGTCCCTCCCACATGGAGGGAGGCAGATGACCACACTCTAGAACCAGCACCAAGATGGTACTACCTGGGGACCGTGCCTATGGCAACCAGGCCTCTGCTACTTGGCCAAGAAAGGTAACATGAGATGGCAGACCACACAGACATGTTTCTCTGAAAGTGATTTTCCCAAAAGCCCTGCTGGCCTTCTGCACAGCTGGCCACCCTCAAATGATAATCGTGCCCTGTCAGGTCACACACTGCTCTGAGAAGGTGGAGTCCTAACAGCAACACCTTGCATGAGATACAATTTTTAACCTATGTTTTGCAGTCTGTGAAACTAAAGCCAAGAGAGATGGAGTGAGTTGTCTAAGATCCCATGGAGGAATGCAGCTTACTGGACAGCCAGGTCTGATCCTCACTCCGCACAGCTACTGATTCCTACTTCAATCAGAACCCTAAGGCAGTAGCTGGTATAGTAGGAGAAAGCCTCAAGACAGGGCTGCACCCAGATGAAAGGAGAGGTGATGTCAGGCTCTCACAGTCCTGTATTTCTGTTGTCCAACCCCCTTCAAATCACTCCTGGCCCAGGAGAGACCTAACCCAAGAACTCCTCTTTCCCCATCCTCTCAAAAACTGCTTTGGAGCTGGGTACTGGTAGGTCACACCTGAAATCCTCGCTACTTAGGAGGCTGAGATCTGGGGATTGTGAGTCAAAGCCTTCCTGGGCAGGAAAGTCTGTGAGACTCTTGTCTCCAATTGACTAGCAAAAAGACAGAAGTAGAGGTATAGTTCAAATGATACAGAGTGCCAGCTCTTGAGTGAAAAAGGCTGAAGAAAATGCTCAGGTCCTGAGTTCAAGCCCCAGTACCAGTACAAGAAAAAAATGAAATAAAAACTACTTTGGTCTGAATAGAGGACAAGGTGACATCTTCCATCCAGATCCCCACTTAGAGTTGCTTGTCGAGGATGGCATCAGGGCCTGTAGTCTCAGAGATCATCCTGGAGACAGAAATGCCAAAGCCCGAACCCAGCCTGAACTGCCTCTCTCAGCCCTTCCAGCATCCTATATTATGTCCCTCCAGGCTGTTACTTCAGCAGGATCAAGACAAAAAGCTGCTGAGTGTGGCCTATGGTGACAGCATTCAGGCTCTGGGCCTGGGGCCCTCCCTCCTCTCAGCAGTGCCATCTGCTCCAGGATCTAAATAGAGGCCTATTCCTGAAACCTGGCCTCCTGGGTACAGCAAGACACCCCTGCTATCCAGGATACATACATGACTCACTCATCATCCTTCCTTAGCAAAAAGACCCCTTCCCTCTCCTGCCCCATGCACTTCACCGCACACACCCACCTGCTTCCAGAGGAAGGCATCTCCACGGTTGAGTTGCCAGGCCAAGATCAAATGAAGGATGGAGAGGCCCAGGCCACTCAGCACTGCGGCCCGCATGCGGATGGGCAGGAGTGTGTAGGTGATGTAGACAAAGAACACGGGGACCCAGAGGCCTGCTGAGGGGCTGTGTGGGTTGGCTGCCAGGGCACCCCCAACCTGCAGAGCTGCCAGGATGCCCAGCACCACGTAGCTCACCACCCACATGGAGTCCTGGCGGAAGCTATGTCGGTTACACACCACCATGAGCGCCACAAAAAGGATGGCGGCACAGACCAGCAGGACCACATAGGCAGGATGAGGAGAGGTGGGCGCAGCATGGAAGGCTAGCAACACGGCGGTGAGCAGCACCAGCACTGCCATCAGCAGCGTCAGGCTACTCTGGTTCATCTGGAAGAAATAGCGTTGGTATAGGCGCTCCAGCTTGGCTGAGCGGAATTGCTTCGACTGGAAAACCTGCACAAGACGGCGCCAGCAAGATCGTCCACTCCTGGATTCCGCATCAGGTGCCACGTCAGCTGCCCCACCTCCTGCTGTTGTCATCTCAGTGTCCTCAAAGCCCAGGGCCACAGCCCGCAACCCCAGCTCCATGCCCCTGCCTGGGCCAGCCCTCCGAATGAACGCCTCATCCTGCCAGGGGCACCGTGCAGGAGCTGCAGGAGTGGGGCTGGGTGGTTCCGCATCCTGGAGGCAGCTCATGTAGCGGGGTGCACAGAAGCCACTGGCTCGAGTCCCATGACGTGGGCGCTTCTGCCCATTGCGTTCACCCCAAGCTGTTTTCCGTTCATCCACTTTGGGAACCAAGAGGCCACTAAACCATGACATACTGCTGGGGGAAAAAAGGATGAGAGGGCATTAGTACCACCATCAGGGCTACTGCCTCCCATAATAGCTCACCACCTGAGCCCTTCTCAGGAATGAGCTATGAACTTTAATACACACCATCCTCATAAAACTCCTGAGGTAGCCCAGTGCTGGTAGTAGCTCATACCTATAATCCTAGCTACTCAAAGAGGCTGAGATCTAAAGATCATGGTTCGAAGCCAGCCTAGACAGGAAAGTCCATGAACCATTTATCTCCAATGAACCATTGAAAAGCTGCAGTATAGCTGTGAATCAAGTGGTGGAGTGCTAGCCCTGAGTAAAAAAAGCTAAGGGACAGTGTCCAGGCACACACACACACACAGACACACACACACTCACACACACACTCACACACACACACTCCTAAACAGTGACATCTCCATGCAACAGGTAAAAACAGGTAAGGAAACCAAGATACAAGGAGGTGAAGAAACTTGTCCAACATCTAACAACCATGTAAGTAAAAGTCTAAACCGGATTTTTTTTTTTTTAGTCGGTCGCAGGGCTTGAACTCTGGGCCTGGGCGCTGTCCCCCAGCTCTTCAGCTCAAGGCTAGTGCTCTACCACTTGAGCTACAGCGCCACTTCCCTAAGCCAGATTTGTTTGACCCAAAGTTAATACATCTAAAAATTCACCTCCCTTCTAAAGTTAACATTGATCTTTATTTTCTTTTGTAATCACATACTCAAAGGCCCAATTCAAGGAATGACACAGCCTATCAATACATTGGAGGAGAAATCAAGTTCCTACTCAAGCATGGTGACAAGAGCCCGTCAGCACCACTAGACCATGGCCACTTGTGTCCCAAATAGGTCCAGAAGAAAACCTCCATTTTCAACCTGACATCTCTTAATTTTTTTTCTTTTATGCCAGTATTGAGGCTTGAACTCAGGGCTTGGGTAATGTCCCTTAGCTTTTTTTTCCCCCAGTTGTGGGGCTTGAACTCAGGGCCTGGGCACTATCCCTGAGCTTCCTATGTTCATGGTAAGTGTTCCACATTTGAGCCACAGTGCCACTTCTGGGTTTTGAGTGGTAAATTGGAGAGAAGAGTCTCACATGGACTTTTCTGCCTGGGCTGGCTTTTAACCATGATCTTCAGATCTCAGCCTTCTGAGTAGCTAGGATTACAGGCATGAGCAACCAGCACCCAGCCCCCTTAGCTTTCTTTCTGTTCCTGAGCACTTCAGCTCAAAGCTAGTACTCCACCACTTGAGCCACATTACTACTTCCAGCCTTTTCTGTTTATGTGGTGCTGAGGAATCGAACCCAGGACCTCATGTATGAGTGGCAAACACTCTACTGCTGAGCCACCTTCCCAGCCCCTCCCTTAGCTTTCTAACTCAAGACTAACATTCTACTACTTGAGCCACAGCTCAGGCTGTCTTCAAATCTTAATCCTCAGACCTCAGCCTCCTAAGTAGCAAGGATTATAGGCATGAGCCACCAGCGTCCAGCTGGTGTTGGCAACTAATCTCCATAATTCAATACTGCAAGCCAAATAAATCACGTCTATGGAATGAGTTCTGCCTATGAGCTGCCAATTGGTGACCTCTGAACAAAGGGGAATCTCTTTCCACATCCTTCCTCAACACACACACACACACACACACACACACACACACACACACACACCCCAACATGCTAAATTCAACTTCCCACAGGTCACAGCTCAAGTGTAACTTCCTAGGAAAAATTTTCCAGCTACTTTACCTCTGTACATTTCCTCCATAGTATTTACTGTAATTATAATTAAATCATTCATGTTTAATGTATGTCTCTGCCCCTTTGACTAGAAGTTTTGTGAGAATAGGAATGTCTATTTCGGTCAATGTTTGTTTGTTTTGGTTTTTGGGTTTGTGTGTGTGTGTTGGTCCTGGGGCTTGAACTCAGGGCATGAATGCTATCCCTAAGCTGATTTGCTCAAGGCTAGCACTCTTATCACTTGAGCCATAGCTCCACTTCTGGCTTTTTTTTCCCCAATAGCCTGAATGAAATTTTTATTTTTCTTGCTCACACTTTTTTTTCTGCCTTGATTTCTTTCAGTTCAACCTTTATTATGACACAAAAACCCCTACTATTTCTTTTCATGCTCAATTAAAAACACCAGATAAGAAGACATAGAGTATATACAGGCATACAAAATAAAAGTAGGGGAAAAAAGCATACATAGAGTAAAACAGCATTGTTTTGAACATTCATTTGTATTCAGTCCTGAAGAATCACAGAGAACACTTCTGGCTTTTTTGGTGATTAGAGATAAAAAAAAAAGTCTCCTGGAACTGGGAGTGGGGGCTCATGCCTGTAATCCTAGCTACTCAGGAGGCTGAGATCTGAGGATTGTGGTACAAAGCCAGTCCAGGCAGGAAAGTCCATGGGACTCTTTTTTGTTTGTTTGTTTGTTTTTGGTCAGTCAGGCTTAAACTCTGGGCCTGGGCTCTGTCCCTCAGCTCTTCAACTCCAGGGTATCGCTCTACCACTTGAAACACAGTGCCACTTCCGGTTTTCTGAGCAGTTAACTAGAGATAAGAGTCTCATGGACTTTCTTGCCTGGATTGGCTTTAAACCACAATCCTCAGATCTCAGCCTCCTGAGTAGCTAGGATTATAGACATGAGCCATCAGTGCCAGCTATTACTGGCTTCCATAGAAGGGACTCAATAAGTGTAAGGGCTGCATTAAAAAACAAACAATAACAACAACAAAAATAAAAACCCCAATGAGCTAAAGACTCATGCCTATAATCCTAGCTACTCAGGAAGGTGATATATCACAGTTCAAAGCCAGCCCAGGCAGAAAAGCCCATGACACTCTTATTTTCAATTAACCAGCAAAAAAGCTGGGAATGGAGGCATGGCTCAAGTGGTAGAGTACTAGCCTTGAACGAAAACAAGAGCCTGAGACCTGTGGCCTTGAGTTCAAGTCTCAGTTTCTGCACCAACCTACATACATACATACATACACACACCCAGAAAGCTCAATGGCACATGGCTACAGAACAAATTCAAAATAATTGCTAATAATAATAATCCTAACTTTTCATCTTCCTCACACACCAAGATCAGTCTAGCCTGGGACTCTGGTTGTTACTGTCTCCTTTTCTGGAACAAGAGCTCCTCAGGTCACTGCCCAAATATCCCCCTTATCAGAGAGACTCTGACCACCCTTTTAAAATAACAACTCCCTTTCCTGGGGCTCCCTATCTCTCTTCCCAGCTTTACACTTTCTCTTTCTCCACAGTTCTTATCAGCAACTGCCATTCTATATATTTTTCTTCTTTGTTCGTGTCTGTCTCTACTAAGTGGGATGTCAACTTCACAAATGCAAGGCTTGGGTCTTGTTTTGCTTACTGCAGGATCTACAACACCTCATGGAAATTAAATACAGATACTGGCTGAGTAGATGGATGGCTATTGGATGAATGGATTCGATCCCATGTTTCTTCTCTGTGTTTTAAACCTTTCCAAAGTTTTTTCACACACCTAATTTCAGCTGAACTTCACCAAAAGCCTGTGAAGCTAGTACTGAGGCTACCTAGGGCACAGGACAGGCAAGACAGGAATAAAGAAAAACTAAGGCCAAAGATTAGGGTAAGCTGGGCACTGGTGGCTCACACCTATAAGCCTAGCTATTCAGAAGGCTAGGATCTGAGGAACACAGTTCAAAGCCAGCCTAGGCCAGAAAGACTGTGAGACTCCTATCTCCAATACTGAAAAAGCTGGCAGTGGAGTTGTGGCTCAAGTGATGAGTGCAGCCATGGCTGGGAAAGTGGCTCAGTGGTAGAGTGCTTGCCTGACATGCATGAGGCCTTGGGTTCAATTCCATAGCACCACATAAGCAGAAAAAGCCAGAAGTGGCACTGTGGTTCAAGTGGTAGAGCACTCGTTTTGAACTAAAGAGCTGAGGGACAGCACCTAGGCCCAGAGGTCAAGCCCCACAACCGACACACACAAAAAAAGAGTGCCAGCCTTGAGCAAAAAGCGCTCAGGGGCAGTGTCTGGGCCTTGAATTCAAACCCCACGACCACTACCCCACTGCCCCCCAAAAGAAAGAAGGGTAGAGTAATTGTAGTTGTGTAAAGATCCTGGGTAACCTAAACAGTCTGGGATCCCAGGTTTCCTGAGGGGAGGTGCCTTGAACTGGGTAGACTCCATCCATGATGCCGGCTTTGCCAGGTCTCCTGGCTGAGCCCAAGTCTTGAGAGGATGAACATGAAAGTACTGTTCCCCACAGATACTATTTCCCCACCAAGGTCACACTCCTTCATCTTACAGGGCACCATGAGGGGCCTTTTGGACTTAAAACATCAGTGACATTTGTACTCACTAGGGAACTAGTGTGGAGCCTACCCAGCACTTACCCCACAGAACCAGCCACTCAGGAAATATAATCAACACTCCAAGCAGTCACCCAAAAGCCTCCAAAGCAGAAAGCAAAACTGAAAACATCTCTGTATACCCAAACCTCCATCCCTTAGCCAAGTTCTCTTAGCATCCCTTCTATATGCCATAGAGTAGCATACCCTTCAACCTTTTAACATCACCAACAGTGCCACCTCAAAGACAGATCAGGAGTACAAGACTTTTGGTCAGCTGGCATTTGAAAGAGGTCACCAAAGAAAGCCTCCCTCTTCCAAAAGCTTCATAGAAAGTATGATCTGCTGGGTACTGGTGGCTCAGACCTGTAATCCTAGCTACTCAGGAGGCTGAGATCTGAAAATTATGATTCCAAGGCAAGAAAGTTCATGAGACTCTTATCTCCTAATTAACCACCAAAAAGTCAGAAGTGGAGTTTTAGCTCAAGTGGTAGAACACTAGCCTTGAGTGAAAAAACTAAGGAACAGTGCCCTGGCCCTGAGTTTAAGTCCCAATACTGGTACAAAAAAGAAGAAAAGAAAGAATGAAGGCAGGAAGGAAAGAAGAGAGGGAGGGAGGAAGGGAGGATGGGAATATGGTTTAGTGGTAGAGTTCTTGCCTAGCATGCATGGACCCCTACCTAGGTTTGATTTCTCAGTACCACATAAACAAAAAAAAAAAAAAAAAGCTGGGGGGCTGGGAAGGTGGCGGCTCAGTGGTAGAGCGCTTGCCTTGCAAGCATGAGGCCCTGAGTTCGATTCCTCAGCACCACATAAGCAAAAAAGAAAAAAGCCGGAAGTGGTGCTAAGGCTCAAGTGGTAGAGCATTAGCCTTGAGCTGAAGAGCTGAGGGATAGTGCCCAGGCCCAGAGTTCAGGCTCCAGGACGGACCCCCAAAAAAAGGAAAAAAAAGCTGGAAGTGGCACTGTGGCTCAAGTGGTAGAATGCTAGCCTTGAGCAACAGAAGCTCAGGGACAGCGCCCAGGCCCTGAAGTTCAAGCCCCAGGACTGTGTGTGTGGGGGGGGGGGGGGGGGAGGAGAGGAGAGAAGAGAAGACACAAGAGAGGACAGGAGGGGCTGGGAAGGTGGCTCAGTGGTAGAGCGCTTGCCTTGCATGCCTGAAGCCCTGGGTTCGATTCCCCAGCACCACATAAGCAAAAAGAAAAAAAGCGGAAATGGCACTGTGGCTCAAGTGGCAGAGTGCTAGCCTTGAGCTGAAGAGCTGAGGGACAGCACCCAGGCCCAGAGTTCAGGCCCCACCACCGGACCCAAAAAAAAAGAAAAAAGAAAAAAAAAAGAACTAACACATGAAAAAAAGAGAGAGAGAGAGAGGACAGGAGAGGAAAGAGGAGAGGATAGAAAAGGGGAGGAGAGGGGAGGAGAGGAGAGGAGAGAGAGAAGACAGAAGTGGTAGGCTGCTAGCCTTGAGCAAAAGAAGCTCAGGGACAGTGCTCAGGCCCTGAAGTTCAAGCCCCAGGACTGGAGGGGGGGGGGAGGGAGAAGGAGAGGGAGGGAGAGAAGTAGAGAGGGGGAGAGAAGTAGAGAGGAGAGGAGAGGAGAGGGAGAGAGGGGACAGGAAACAGGGAGAGAGAGGGAGAGGGGGGGGAGAGGGGGATAGAAAGGGGAGAGAGGGGGAGAGAGGGGGAGAGAGGGGGAGAGGGGGGGAGAGGGGGGGAGAGGGGGAGAGAGGGGGAGAGAGGGGGAGAGAGGGGGAGAGGGGGGGGAGAGGGGGGGAGAGGGGGGGGAGAGGGGGGGAGAGGGGGGGAGAGAGGGGGAGAGAGATCTTTGGTACAAGACATTACCATAATTATTAGCTAGTTCCACTGCCTTGGACAACTTATTTAACCTCCCTGCTTGATTTTCTTCATGTGTAAAATGGGAATTAAAAGGGTCCTGAGGAAAGAATACAATAATACCTATCATGTAGTAGACCTTGGCAATATTAATTCTTCTCTCCACCTTATAACCCTCTGAGCCCTAACCCCTGCCAGGACCCAAGAGATAGAAAGACAAGAGAGACATAAGCAGAACACACATCCCTCCAGCCAATCAGATGCCTGGTTCTATCAGACCCTGTGTCCTCAGCTGTCAGTCCCCAGAGCTGTTGGGGACAGAACCCAGAATAAGTAGGTTTCCCATTACCCCCCACCTCCCCACCCCAGCCATGACATTTTGCTTTAGCCTCCTTTCATTCTCCAGTCCCCTGCCCTGTTATCTCCCTCCACTACCACTGGCCTAGACCTCTGTTCCCACAAGGCGTATTTCTGGCCATGTTCCCAGCCTCTGGAAAGCATATCCTAGCATCTGGCTTCTACCCACAGAGGAAGGAGCAGACACTATCAGGGGAATGCATGACCCTTCCAAGAACACTCTGACCCCCACAAGGGGATGGCTTTAGAGCTCTGTAACTGTCCAACTAACTACAACCATCCTGCCCACAGCCCCACTCCAGGCACTGTCCATCCCAAAGAATTCCCAGAACTCCTAGCGCTCTATGCCAGGCTAGTATGGCAAGAAAACAGGAGGGCACTGTTCCAAGACACAAAACTTCTCTAAAGGGTTTCTCCCAACGCGCCCTGTCCAGGAACCCATCACTCTGAATGGGGGAGTGCAAAACCACATCGGTAGAGTCAGTCTCCTGACCTCCTTCCTCCCCTGAGTCCCTGGTCCTTTGCTTCTTTCACAGATCTGCCTCCAGGCAGGCCACAGCCATATCCCAGGCAGCCTCACATTCCCAGATCCAGGGCCTTCTAGATCTCAATTTCCTCCCAAACCCTCATCTTCATGCTGAAACTGGAGTCTGCAGAAGGCCAGGGCCCAGCCCTACGGAAAGCTTTGACCACTGCTTCACCCAACTCTTCTTCCCAGCGACCTCTCACCCCTCCTGTCCCCAGGGCCCATCTGTCCCTGTCTTCTTTGGCAAAATGAGCCTCCAGGGTTTGTTTGTTTGTTTCTTAATGACTTCAGAAAGTTCCTCACAGAAAACACTATCCAGGTTAAGGCCCAACAGTGCCAACACCGCCCACTTTACTGGGATGTGCCTCCATTCCAGGCCTTTCCAGATGTACAAGCGCCTTCCCAGGGCCTTCATCTGTAGGTTCCCTGTTGCCTTCTCCGCCTTTCCCCAGCCCTGGCACTTGCTAACAACTGTGAGAGGGGCTCCCAACCCAATCCTAAGCAGATAACACCACAACCAGGGACATCCAGCAAGAAGCGAAGCTGGAGGGGGGAGGGGGAAGTGATGGGGACGGGCTCCCCCACTACCTAATTCCTGTCTTTTCCAGTCAGGCCCCAGAGCCCACTTCCAATAAAGTTTGCCCCCTCCCTGCCCACCCTGCACCAGGCCGGCCTTGGGGAGAAGGAGGCTCGGACATGATCCTTTTCATTGCAAATGTCTAGAGTAAAAAAGCAAGGAGAGGGGGCGCCGCCCCGAGAAGGCTTTCCCTAAGCCCCTCTAAATTGCATCCACACTCTATCCCGGACTCACTCACCCCACCACTCCGCTGCCAACCCCTCGGGACAACCCTTCCCCCAGTACATGCCTTCTCCCCTGCTCTCCTCCGGGCAAGCCTGGAAACTCCAGCAAGTGGAGGAAGGGAATCGGCCAGCGGAGAGTGACAGTGTGGAGCCTGGAGCCCGGCCTGGGGGCGAGGGGGCTGGGGTGGGGGGCTCCTGATCCTCTCCATCTCCTCCAGGATACCCCCCCACACACACACACGCCAGCCCCCACACCTCAGGCTGCCCACTGCCTCCTCCCGAAAAGAAAATAATGAAAGACAGTCAGCCCTGACCACGCCAGGCTTCGCTGCCCCCCAACTCGAGCCACGCTGCTGCTGTGGCTCCAGCCTGGAACCCCAAAGCCCCGCACCGCCACTTCCCCGGCCTGCGCCGGCTCCCCGCGGGCTCACCTGCCGGCCCGGGTCGGCGCCTCCCCGGGGCCCCCGCCCCGCCGCCCCCGCGGGCTCCGGCCCGCCGGCCGGCTGTCCCGCGGTCCTTCTCCGAGCCCGCGCGTCCCGGCCGTCCCGCCCGCCGTCCGTCTGTCCGGCCGGCCGTCAGTCCGTCCGGCCCTCGCCCCCTCCCTTGTTGTCCAGCGCAGCCGCCCTCTACCCCGGATCCAGAAGTCCCCTCCCCGCCGGCTCCCGGACTCCCCGCCTTAAAGGCACAAGCTCCTTTTGTCTGGGCACCCCCTCCCCCTCCCCCAGAAGCGGGGAGTGGGGGTGGGCAGAGTTACCCACTCCCCTCTTCCCAGGGAGGGATCGGGGTGTGGCAGCGGGGGAGGGGGGAGGGGGAGACCAAAGAAGGGGACCCCCTCCCTCCGCGCGCCCCCTCCTCTCCTCCGGTCGCTTCCTCCCCCAGGCTTGGGAAAACAAGCGGCTACTGTTCTGGGATCAAGACCCGTGAGGAGGAGGGGGCATGCCCCCCGCCCCCCTTCCGTCCACCCCCCGAGCTGCAGCCTCCAGCATTCCCTCCCAATCCCACCCAGGGGTCCCCATCGCGCCAGCCGAAGATCGCACTCACGGTGGGCGAGTATGCCCCTCCTCGCCCCCACCGGGGCTTCCTCCCGTCGTCCGGGGGTCCCCCCAGGGCTGAGCCGGAGCCCAGCGCCCCCTCCTCACCTCTCTCTTCCTCCCCACCCCAGCCCCCACCCCGCCGCGCCCGTCCCCCCCCCCCCCCCCGCCACGGCCCCGCTCCCTCCCACGGGAACTCAGTTTAATAATTAATTAAGGTTTCATTCCACAAGGCGCCAGGTGTGTGTGCCTGGCACCCGCTTGCCCGCACACCACTTCTTTCCATTCCCGCGCGCTCGCGCGTGCACACACACACACACACCGCAGATCTCTGGGGCACAGGCCTCTAGGAGAACCTTCTGAGCCCCGAACCAGGGGGGTGGGGGGAGCGCGGGGGACAAAGAAGGAACATTCTTCCTGCCTCCCCGTGGCCCCAAAGCTCTCTGGGCAGCCCTTCCTCTGCACCTGCCAATTTGCTGAGTACCTTCCTCCCCAGCACCTTTTACCCAAAGGGTGGTGCTTCTCTGCAGGGGGTGGGAGATGCCTTGCTAGGTTTGAGAACGAAGAAATGGTTTGGAACATTTATTTATTTCCCTCGTGAAGCAGCTGCCCAAGTTACCTGGGAGATGGGGAAATCATGTGAAAACTGCTTTAACCCTTTGAAGGTTAGAATGGTTAGTGGAACTAGAAAGAAGAGAAGGGTTAATTCCCAGTATGTTTGCGGGTCTGACTTTAGCGGGGCGTGCCCTTAGCTAGTGACAAGAAGGAAGCCGACTGGCTTCCCTTTAAATCCCCTCACATACCCCCCCACCAGACCCTTACCTCCACCTTCCAATCCAGCCCAGGCTCCAGGCAGCCCCTTCTCCACTACCTAGGTATCTTCCCTCCAGACCCAACCATCCCTACATTCTTCCAGGTTTCCCTCCTGTCCTTCCAATTCCTCCCACTGAGATTCTTCCCCCCCCCCCCCCCCCAGCCCCATCATGGGGGTTGTACTCTGGGTCTGAGGGCTGTTCGTCAGCTTTTCAGTTCACTACCACTTGAGCCACAGGGACACTTCCGGTTTTCTGGTGGTTTATTGGAGATAAGAGTTTCACGGACTTTCCTGCCCAGGCTGGATTTGAACCTCGATCCTCAGATCTCAGCCTCCTGAGTAGCTAGGATTACAGGCATGAGCCACCAGTGGCCGGCTTCCCACTGAGATTCTTAAGCCCAGGACAGAGCTGGAGGCAAAAAAGAGAAGGGAAGTTAGGAAAATTATTTTCTTTCACTTACCAGACATCTATCACAGTAAAGGACATGCTTGGATAAATTGCTTACTGTCTTACATTCTCACCTGTAAAACAGGAATAAAACCATCTGCCTTTCTCCCGGAGTTTTCCAGTTCAGATACTAAGATGTTGGTTCATAGAGTTTGAAATTAGGAAATGGGCTGGGTGCTGGTAGTTCACACCTGTAATCCTAGCTACTCAGGAAGCTGAGATCTGAGGATCATGGTTCCAAGCCAGCCTGGGTGGAAGTCTTGAGACTCTTATCTCCAATCAACCTTGGCAAAACCAGAAGTGCACTGTGGCTCAAAGTGGTAGATCACTAACCTTGAGCACAGAAGCTCAGGGACAACACACAAGTCCTGAGTTCAAGCCCCATGACTGATCAAAAAAAAATGTTTTAATTGGGAAATGAAAATGAGAAACAGATAGGTCATTTCATAGTGTATAATTCCCAGGCCTGGCCTGTAATTTGACCTTTGGGGCCTCTGCCTAATTTCTCCCTTAGAGTAGCCAGTTTTCTTGCCACTATCAAACTTTCCTTTCTGAACTTGAATCAGGAAGTATGTACTATTTACCACCTAGAATAATGTGGTTTTGCCCTCAAACAATTTTTGACAAAGGAACCAAAAACATACACTGGAGAAAAGGGCAGGCTCTTAAAAAAACAGTGCTGGGCAAACTGAGTATCACTTGTAAGAGACTGAAACTTGACCCCTATCTCTCATCCTGTATAAAAATCAACTCAAAGAGCTTAAAGAAAGACCTGAAAGTTTAAGTCTACCACAAGAAAAACTCTAGATGTTATAGGCACAGGTTGAATAAGATTCTCAATTGCCCAGAAAATAAAAATAAGAGTACACAAAAAGTTTCTTCTTGGGCTGGGAATGTGACTTAGTGGTAGAGTGCTTGCTTAGCATGTATGAAAACCTAGATTCGATTCCCCAGTACCACATAAACAGAAAAGGCTAGAAGTCGTGCTGTGGCTCAAGGGGTAGAGTGCTAGCCTTGAGCAAAAGAAGCTTAGAGACAGTGCCCAGGTCTTGAGTTCAAGCCCTAGGACTGGCAAAATAAATAAACAAATAGGTTCTTCTTACCAGAACCAAGAGACAAACCGTGGAATGGGAGAAAATCTTCACCAGCTATTCAACAGACAAAGGATTCATATCCATAATATACAAAGAACTCAAAGACTTAAACAACAAAAGAATAATAATTGAATTAATAAATGGGCAAGCAAATTGAACAAACAGTTCTCAGAAGAAATACAAATTGCTATAATAGATACATGAAGAAATGTTCAACGACCTTAGCCATAAGGGAAATACAAATCAAAACTACACTAAGCCAGGCAGCTAATGCCTGTAATCCTAATCCTAGCTACTCAGGAGGCTGAGATCTGGGGATCAAGATTCAAAGCCAGCCAGAGCAGCAAAGTTTGTGAGACTCTTATCTCCAGTTAATTACCAAAAAGCCAACAATAGAGCTGTACAAGAGGGTGAGCACTAGTCTTGAAGAAAGAGGTTCAGGGGGAGTAGTGTTCAGGCACTGAGTTCAGGCCCCAGGACCAGCAGAGATACACACACACACACACAGCACTAAGATTCCATCTCACCCCAATTAGAGTGGTAATTTTCAAAATAACAACAATAAATGTGTGGAGGATACATGAAAAATGAACCCTCATATATTATTGGTGGCTATATAAAATAGTACAATCACTATGGAAATCCATATGGAAGGAAATCAGTATGGAAAGGCCTCTAAAAACTAAAGCTAGGCAGGCACTGGTAGCTCACACCTAGGTATTCAAGAGGTTGAGATTTGAGAATCAGGGTTTGGAGTTAACCCTAG